ATACAAGAAACAAGTGAAGAGAGAAAATCATGGAAGCAAACTGAAAAACATTTTAGCACTCCAGCAGGCTAGCTTAGCACTTCAAATTACAGTAGCAAGCGCTCCACTCAAGATTGTACCCGCGATCAGATTAGCCAGACCTTCAGACCCTAAGCAGCAACACGCCCACGCTGAGAAATCTTCAAGTTTGGGGAAACTTAGATATTTATTACTATGTCTACTATATATACTACCATGTGACTACGGTGGCACCTGAAAAAACAAACTTAGAGACATGGTTGCGAATCACGTAATGAAGGAAACCAAGTTCTTTCTGCGCAGTGACTTTGTACACAATGTGGTGCACCTTTACCCAGCTATTCTAATTTTTTGGAAGTTTTCACTAGAAGTTTAAATTCCAAAGCTTTTTATAGGAAGTACATAGGATGGTCATGAGTAATATATAAGTCTTCTTGGCCTAACTATGGAATCTTTTGAACATAAACAACCACTTTATGCAATGCTCTTTTTCAATGACGAAGATTTTCTCCCCCCAAATTCATTTGGGGCAGCACTTAAAAGTCTGGATTCCAATCTTGACTCTACAATTTACTACCTACTTTATCACTTATTATCAATGTGCTTTTGAATCTCCCGCTGTTTATCCATCAAATGAGAAAAATAACTTGAGATTAAAGCACTTAGCCTACTACCTGCAAGGCTTCAATGTTAGTTGTAACTGATAGAAGCAAATTTTGATACAAAATGAAAAACTGCAAAGTCAGGATGGAAAGACTACAGATCTGGTATAAATAACTGACAAGTACCTTCTTAGTAGCTGAGTACAGTAAACCACTAATTATGCACAAAAAGAATAAAAAGTGCAACTCAGGCTTTAGTGAACAAAAACGTAAAGAGAAATCTAAACTCTAAATCCCAAATAGTGGTCCCTAAGTTTACAATAACCTAGTTAGTAGATGATAAGCCATTCATAGGGCAAACAGTAAAAAACAATCCATGCTGTATTTGTTGGAACATTACCCAATTGTTACCAGAGCCCAGTTTTAGGGGTGGGACAGAGAACAAATCCCAACAAAAGTTGGTCAGATGGTAGTGTCTTATTTTGTTTTATATGAAGACAATCATAAAGTAAATTTATAAATGCCAAGACAGATCTTATAGAAAGATCAACCTGGAACTGAGTCTTGGAACTGAATCTTTTCCTTTCCAAGGAAAGCATTTAAAATATTCAGACTAGTTCAATAAATAAATTAGATTCATTACAAAAATTGTGTTCATAATTCAACTAGATTTTATCTAAATTAACACTTTAAATTTCTAGACAAATCCTTTGAAGTAAAACTTGCTACAAAATCAAATTAATTTCTTGAAGGTCATTAAGGAATTTTAAAACAGGAGACAGGTCTCAACATGACTAGAAAAATGGTGGTAAGGAGGAGCTACATAGTTTACTGAATTGTTCATGAGGTCACTTAGACTGTCAACAACCTCAGAAATCGTGTTTTCAAGTCCTCTTTTCCTAACTTAATTACACATGACCCTGATACAATATCAGTTAAAAAAAAATAGACCTTTTTTTTGACCTTTTTATGTAAAAACAATCTTAGACTTATAGAAAAGTTGGAAGATCACTATAAAGAATGCTTTTTTTCCTCAGCCATTTACTGACGTTCTATCCTATCACTTTGAAATACTCTATTATTAGCTACAAATATTATTTTCTTAAATAATACCAATTTAAGCACCAAAATATATTAGCCTCATTCAATCCTAAAAACCCACTCAAAGTTTCCCCACAATTCCAGTTCAGGAGAACACACTGAATTTCCTACTTGTGAGTATCTTTCAACGTGGAAAAGTTTTCTTTGCTCTTTCTTTCTTCCTCTGGATCTTGATATTTTTAGAGTCAGTTATTTTGTAGGCTGTTTTAACTTGGATTAATCTTGTATCTTATTTACTCATCTCAAAAACAATAAATTCAGTCTCCAAAGTGGTAAAATGACTTAAAGATAAGACATGTTGGAGACTGTCAAGATTCAGCTTTACCAATCTCTACAAATCCTGTTTCAACTATTCTCAAATCAAAGCAAAATCTCTAGACTGTCTTCCTTTCTCCAAATTCCAGCTACCAATACAATTTTGGTATGTATAAGACAGTAGTAACCATTAAACGTGTGAAACTTTCTTTACACGTTTGCTAAAAGTATCCATGACTGCTACGTTTCTAAAATAAGTCACAAGGAAAAGGTGCTCTTAAAATTCCTTTTCAACAGTTGGATGGACTTTAATGTGACTGAGGTAGCCAAGTCACTGGTGAAAAACCTGCTTCCAAATGACATCACCTGGTATATTAACATCACTATAATCGTCTATTTACAAAAGCAGTAAATCATTTCAAGAGAACCGTATGAGCACCTTGTCAGGAAAACACTGGAATACAACATGTGGCTTGATGAAGCACAAACTGAATCAAAATAAGAGTGGAACATGATGGGGATAGATAAAGCCCAACTATGAAACAAGAAAAAAAGACACTGTTCTCGACCCCTTACAAGTATATACACACTGAAGTATTTGATAACTATATCTTGAGGGGTACAGAAGAAACAGATTTGTAGCCATGCGACACTAGAGCATCTCTTCCTACGACAGAACTTAGCATGAAGTCAGAAACTGAGGCTTTCCAAATGTGTTTGAATGAATTCTCCTGGGAAGCAACTATGACATCAGTCATTTTACAATCAAAGACTCAAGTCCTTGGGAGATGCTCTGCTTAAGATAACACAGTAGTGGCTGTTCAGATAGACATACAGATTGCATATGAGTTAGCACAAACATAACTGTACTGCCAAAGCATCATTAAAAAACGAATAAAAATGTAGGTAAAAGTTAAAATAAGGCTTCAGAAAAAGATTCTTGAAAGAAAGGAAAAAGAAAAAGAAAACAATAAAGAGCTCAGGTAACTAGCAAGAAAGAGATGATGAAGGAGGCACAGAGGAAGGCCAGTTGCTCGGGCAGCGCATACATCAGAAAAACTGGTTTCTGACACAGTCTAGTGAGCTACTGCATGACAGAAACTCAGCCGAAAAACATCTCAAATTGGAAGGAATTTTATTCAATACCTGCTTTCATTTAGAGATCAGAAAACTTGTAAGACAGGCTAGTTAAGCATACAATGAAAGGGAAAACATTTTGTTTCATGGAACTGATTAAGGTAAACTTGTGAGGTATGCTCAAACAGAAAATACTTTGTAAGATTAATATGTCACTAATTTCCTTGGCTTCTCAAGGATCAACCACAAAGCTTTGCAATCCAAGTATTAATTAAGGTTAGAAACTTACAGGAGTCAAGAAGGAACCAAATCATCTCTCTCTTCCTCCCAAAGTCCTTGGGCCAACGCAGGCTGGAGGTGCGGGGGTAGAGGGGATGGAAAAGGCTGAGCCATCGCAGCCTGGTACAGAGGGCAAAGGTGTGTTGGGGGGAGGTTTGTTCAGATGGGGGTGTTGGTGGCCCTGCTCAGCAGTGAAAAGTGTCCATCTCTGAGGGTGGTCCAGAGCAGGGGGTGAGAGCCCTGACCAGTGTAAGTGGAGATCTCCACACAAGCCTGGGGGAGATGAGGGATGTTTGTGAGGGCAGAAAGAAGGGACTGGCTGGCACAGAGTTGGGTATTAGCTCAGTCTGAGGAACTGCATGAAGGAAGGCACTCCGGCTCCAGCTCTCAGAAACTAGGGAAGCACAAAGGGTGAGAGACTGGGGAGCTGCCAACGTGGGTAGCAGTGCCAGCAGGGTGCAAGGGCATTTTCACTATGACACTGTGGTGACGTATGGGAAGACTGATCAAATATATTAAAATATTAAGGATACTCAGGATACGAAGTCAGACTTTTTCTTTTTGGGCCACACCTGGCCTGGCAGCGTTCAGGGTTTACTCCTGACTCTGCTCTCAGGGATCATCCTGGTGTGGCCTGGGGGACCATATGTGGTGCTGGGGATCCGGGTCAGCCTCGTTCAAGGCAAGCACTCTACCTGCACTGAGTGACTGAGGTAGCCAAGTCACTGGTGAAAAACCTGCTATCTCTCTGATCCCAGACTAACATTTTTCATTAGCTGAAAGGTAGTTACAACTATGTGAAAGAATATTGTAACTCAGTAACACAGAATTCAAAAGGGATTATCAACTCATGCTTTCAGCAACATATAAACATGATTAGGTAGGGATAAGTGTATGTATGAACACACACACACACACACACACACACACACACACACACACATACACACACACGAAATATTTCTTCTCCACCTCTTTCCACAGAAAGGACCTGGGATCAGTGATATAATAATAAAATGAGCATGTCTAGCTCCTAGATCTTGAATTCCAAATACTATTCTTGAAAGAAAAAAAAAAAAGTGAGATAAAAAGAGAAAGCAAAAAAAAAAAAAAAAAAAGAAAGAGGGACGGCAAGGTGAGGAAAGGAACTGAATTTAAGAAAGAATGAGCTTGGAATATTCCGTCCTTAGGACAACATGAATGATGAGGTCTGAGTATAAGCTGCAAAAATGCCATATCAATAACCTAATTTTGATGGTTTTGAACAACTCTCGTTCTTTTTTTTTTTTGCTGCTTTTTGGGTCACACCTGGCGATGCTCAGGGGTTACTCCTGGCTCATGCACTCAGAAATTGCTCCTGGCGGTGCTCGGGGGACCATATGGAATCCTGATGCTGGGAATTGAACCTGTGTTGCCCATGTTGGCTGCGTGAAAGGCAAACGCCCTACCAGCTGTGCTATCACTCCAGCCCCACAACTCTTGTTTCTTAAAATAAAAATACATCTCTTCTGGAAGTACTTTAGGTTAGGTACTTCCTCCCAAGAGGTGGGTGTTGGAGTGCTTTCTGCATGCGCCTGTAACTTTTCTGTACATGTGTGACTAAAAGAGGACGAAATAAGTGAGAAAGGAGAGGCCAGAAGCAGTAGGGGAAGGCACAATGCTACTTACTAAGGTCTTCAGCTAGTTGAACGCGTTTGCCGGTGAGCAATTTAACTTTCTTGTCACCATCTTCAGCAAAATCTTCCAAAACCTCTTTAACATTTTTCTCTAATCGCCTGACTGTTCAAAATAAATGAAAAACAAACAAACACTGGAGTGCAATGCAGAGAAGGATTCACAATAACAGCACTTTCCTCATTGTTAGATCAACTACGAAGCACCCGTGTCTGTTTCACAGGCAGAGGGGTCTCTGCACACTGGTCAATGTTTTATCTCTTTTCCATTGTGACTCAATATCCCTACCATTTCAAGGGAAAATGATAAATTCTGGTTTAATTAACAAATCTGTAGTTAAAGAGGTATTCTAAAATTCTGTCAAACATGGGTTCTGTTACTACTGATTTTGATGCAGAAAGAAGTCTTTCTGCAGCTTACCTTCAGTGTTTGTGAGTTGCTGCCTTAAAGTATTTGCAGTGATAGAAAGCATTCGCTGTATTCGCCAAAACAGAACCACATCGTTGCATTCCAACTGAAATGTATAGTAATTAATATTATCAGATGCAAATTTAATCAAAAACCATCACAGATGTAACCTAAACTACTAAAGACAGTACTAAGTCTGAAGCCCTTATAGTAATATAAAAGCAAATCAGATTAATACATGTATTTCTATTCCAGAGAAAGACTATGAATCTTCTCTGCACAGGACTCAATAAATCACCTTTTTTCCCCCCCGCTTTTTTGGGTCAGACATGGCAATGCACAGGGGTTATTCCTGGCTATTTACTCAGGAATTACTCCTGGCTGTGTTCAGGGGACCATACGGGATGCTGGAAATTGAACCTGGGTCGGCTGCGTGCAAGGCTAACGCCCTACCCGCTGTACTATCATTCCAGCCCAATAAATCACCCTTTAAACAAAAAAGGTTTGTTCTGATTCCAGTAACAAAGAAAATACCATATTTTGGAAATACAGAATTTCATTACATTATATCTGGTAAAGTTCACAGCACAGACAACCGTGCACTTAGTTTACACCCTTTTATTTTTTAATGTGTCTTTAGGTTAACTTCATTTCTTTGAGTGCTCACTCAAGTCATTTTAGAAATTTACAATGTGAAAACTAACAATTTTAAAGACACTTACTGTGTAAAGGTCTTCCCAACAACCAAAGCTAAGCAAAAATCTAGCCACTATTTCCACAAATGCATATAAATACAAATAACTGCCTAAGTTTTAAAAAAGCATTTTAGAGATATCAATAACTGTTTACTTTCATTAATAAGAGAGCTGACTAAATCTCAAATAAGATAACTGATTAATAGCATTTCGTCTAGAAACTAAAAAATATTTTTGCTCAGAACAAAATGTTTTGAAGTACATTGGTTTACTGCCACCTAGAGGTTACTTTGTCAAATGTCCCATTAAGTTCTTTAAAGAATTAGCTACAGTAAGATTCTAGTAAAGGATTACAGTATAATACATTAAAAGAATATAAGAAAATTGGCTTAAGAATGATTTTCACTATGCAAGTAGAAGACTTTTACAGAAACACTCTCATACAAGCAAGTCTAGAAAGAGTTGAAAGAAGTTACTTCTAAGTGAGGGAATTAGAATTATTTTGTTTTCCTTGTATTTGTATTTTTATTTATTGAAGTTACTATACAAGTGAAATGCATTATTTTCTAAAATAAAAAAATCTAATTCTTAAAAAGAAAATTGAAGTGGCTTAGTGCTTGTTACTTTTACACACAACCTTATCCACAGGCAGGATGGATATAGTTAGCAGCAAAGTATAAATACTCTGTAAAGAATTTTTTTTTCTTTTAGAAAACCAAATGATTTAAAGTTAATGTTACACGAGAAAATAAATAAGATAGATAAACCACTAGCAACACTCACAAAGAAACAGAGAGAGAGAACCCTAATAAATCGAATCAGAAATAAGAATGGGGATATCACAACAGAAACTAAAGAAATTCAAGAGATCATCAGAGACTACTTTGAAAGTCTCTATGCCACGAAACACGAGAACCTAGAAGAAATGGATAAATTCCTGGATCTCTACCATCTCCCAAAGCTGAATCAAGAAGATATAGAGTACCTGAATAGACCCATTCACATCAAGGAAATTGAAACTGTAATCAAAAGTCTTCCCAAAAACAAAAGCCCAGGCCCAGATGGATTTACTAGCGAATTTTTCCAAACATTTAAAGAGGACCTATTGCCAATTCTTCTCAAGCTTTTCCAGGAAATTGAAAAAACAGAAACTCTCCCAAACAGCTTCTATGAAGCCCATATCTCTCTAATACCAAAAGGAAACAAAGACACCACAAGAAAAGAAAACTACAGGCCAATATCCCTGATGAACACGGATGCGAAGATTCTCAACAAAATACTAGCCAATAGAATACAACAACTCATCAAAAAGATCATACATCATGACCAAGTAGGATTCATCCCAGGGATGCAAGGATGGTTCAACATTCGGAAATCAATCAACATAATCCATCATATCAACAAAAGAAAAGATAAAAATCATATGATCATATCAATAGACGCAGAGAAAGCTTTTGTCAAGATCCAGCACCCATTCATGATGAAAACCCTTGCCAAAATGGGGATAGAGGGGACTTTCCTCAATATAGTTAAAGCCATCTACCACAAACCTACAGCAAACATCATCCTCAATGGGGAAAAACTGAGACCCTTCCCCCTAAGGTCAGGGACGAGACAAGGATGCCCACTCTCTCCACTACTGTTCAATATAGTACTGGAAGTACTTGCAATAGCGATTAGGCAAGAAAAAGATATTAAGGGCATCCAGATAGGGAAAGAAGAAATTAAGCTCTCACTATTCGCAGATGACATGATACTATACTTAGAGAACCCTAAAACCTCTACCAAGAAACTCCTAGAAACAATAGGCTTGTATAGTAAAGTGGCAGGCTATAAAATCAATACCCAAAAATCCATGGCATTCCTATACGCAAATAGTGAAAGAGAAGCAAGTGACATCAAGAAAACAATCCCATTCACAATTGTGCCCCAGAAAATCAAGTATCTAGGAATCAGCTTAACTAAGGAAGTAAAGGACCTGTACAAGGAAAACTACAAAACGCTACTTCAGGAAATAAAAGAGGACACGAGGAAATGGAAAAATATCCCCTGTTCATGGATGGGTAGAATCAACATCATCAAAATGGCAATACTTCCCAAAGCACTATACAAATTCAATGCAATCCCTATAAGGATACCCATGACATTCTTCAAAGAAATGGAGCAAACACTCCTGAAATTTATATGGAACAATAAGCCCCCACGAATAGCTAAAGCAATTCTTGGGAAAAAGAAAATGGGAGGAATCAACCTCCCTAACTTCAAACTCTACTACAAGGCAGTAATAATTAAAACAGCATGGTACTGGAACAAAAGCAGAGCTGCAGACCAATGGAACAGAGTTGAATATACTGACATTTCCTCCCAAACATATAATCATCTAATTTTTGATAAGGGGGCAAGAAAAGTGAAATGGAGCAGGGAAAGCCTCTTCAACAAACTGTGCTGGCAAAATTGGACGGCTACATGCAAAAAAGTGGGCTCAGATCTCTGCCTAACACCATGCACAAAAGTAAGATCAAAATGGATTTATGACCTCAACATCAGACCAGAATCCATAATGTTTATTGAAGACAAAGTCGGCAAAACTCTCCATGATATTGAAGCTAATGGTATCTTCAAAGATGTCACGCCACTGGCTGAGCAAGTGAAAACAGAGATAGACAAATGGGACTATCTTAAACTAAGAAGCTTCTGCACCTCCAAAGAAACAGTGACCAAAATACAAAGACAGCCTACAGAATGGGAAAGGATATTCACCAAGTACACATCCGACAAGGGGTTGATATCAAGGATATACAAGGTACTGGTTAAACTCCACAAGAAGAAATCACCCAACCCCATCAAAAAATGGGGTGAGGAAATGAACAGAAACTTTCGCAAAGAAGAAATTCGAATGGCAAAAAGGCACATGAGAAAATGCTCTACATCACTAATCATCAGAGAGATGCAGATCAAAACCACAATGAGATATCATTTCACACCACAGAGACTGGCCCACATCCACAAGAACAAAAGCAACCGGTGCTGGCGCGGATGTGGCGAGAAAGGGACCCTCCTTCACTGCTGGTGGGAATGCCGGCTGGTCCAACCCTTTTGGAAAACAGTATGGACGACTCTCAAAAAATTAGAATTTGATCTGCCATTTGACCCAGCTATAGCACTCCTGGGAATATATCCCAGAGAGGCAAAAAGGTATAGTCAAAGTGACATCTGCAATTGTTTGTTCATTGCAGCACTCTTTACAATAGCCAGAATCTGGAAAAAACCTGAGTGCCCAAGAACAGATGACTGGTTAAAGAAACTTTGGTACATTTACACAATGGAGTACTATGTAGCTGTTAGAAAAGATGAAGTTATGAAATTTACATACAAGTGGTACTACATGGAAAGTATCATGTTAAGCGAAATGAGTCAGAAAGAGCGGGATAGACACAGAAAGATTGCATTCATCTGGGGAACATAAAGCAACAAAAAGTGAGAGTGACACACAGGAATGGCTGAGATTAGTACCAGGAATTTTGCCCCATGAATGGAAGGCCAGCCACAGGCTCTAGGTGAAAAGGAAGCTCAGATAGAGAAGAGATTACCAAATGAAGGGTGTTGTGAGGGCCCTCCCAGGGTGGGAGAAGCATGCTAAAAGTAGTCGATAGACCAAACATGATTGCCACTCAAAGCCTCTCTTGCAAAACACAGTACCCAAAAGAAGAGAGAGAGAACAAGGGGGAATACCCTGCCACAGAGGCAGGATGGGACGGGGGGGGGGGGGATGAGGGGGGGGGGATGCTGGGACCCATGGGGATGGATGACGGGCACTGGTGGAGGTATGGGGACTTGATCATTGTATAACTGAAACCCAAGCACAAAATTTGTAAGCCTATAACTGTACCTCATAAAAAAAAAGAAAAAAAAAAAAACCCAAAAAAAAAAAAATAAATAAAGTTAATGTTACAGTTGAAGTTTATTTTTAAGCATACAAACATTTAAGACATTTCTCCTCGTTTTTGTAATGCTTACCTCAGAATCTACAAAATGCCTTTGGTAATAATAAAAACCTCTGCGACAAAGGTTACAATGGTTTAGAGCTGTTTTTAAGAAATGTCTTCTATAAACTTGGTGCCAAGTGTCCTTAATCTAAATTGAAAAGACAAACAGTTATTGTACATTTTTCAGGTTCATCAAACATTCTGAAAAGTCATACATGAAGTTTACTTATTAAAAAGTTAAAAACAGTGGCACTTATTCAACCAACCCTTTAAGTATAGATAGGGTTTATTACTACTCTTCTCCCTTTCAAAAAAAAATTTAAATTAAAAAATTTGTAAATATATCAAAATGGGCTGGAGCGATAGCACAGCGGGTAGGGCGTTCGCCTTACAAGCGGCCAACATGGCTGACCCGAGTTCGATTCCTCCGCCCCTCTCGGAGAGCCCGGCAAGCTACCGAGAGTATTCGATATGCCAGACACAGTAACAACAAAGTCTCCAATGGAGACGTTACTGGGCCCGCTCGAGCAAATCGACGATCAACGGGAGGGCCTTTACCTTTTACCTTTACCTGAGAACACTGCTGGAATTAGGAATTTGGTTTCATAAAAATTCCATCAACTCAATTATATTTCCTTTGATTATTATATTTGTCATTGGAGAAATATAATCAGATCATCTTATCACTATATAAATTGTTTAAAGCTCTTTCACACCACCGTCTTCATTTAGAGCATAACAATAATGTTAAATATTTAAAACAAGTACCATTAACACCATTTGATAGATCAGAAAAATAGCCAGTGGAATGTGAGGGGCCTTTACATCTCTTGACATCATAAAGATCATTCCCATATCCATTATGGTACTTTGTCATCTATTTAATAGGTTTTACAAACATACATACACACACACACACACACACACACACACACACTTACTATGCTAGGTCACAAATATATAGATATCATAATTTATCTGTTGGTGGGAATGTTGTCTACTCCATTCTCACAGGAAAACTATACAGAGACATCTCAAAACATTAAGAATGAAGCTTCCAAATGACCAGTAATTCCACTTCTTGGCACCTATCCCAAAGGCTCAAAAATAGTGTTTTGCAAAGACATGGGCACCTCTATGTTCAGTGCAGCACTATTTGTAATATTCAAGGTCCGAAGACAATCCAAGTGCCCAAGAACAGATGAGTGACTAAAGAAACCGTGGCCTATTAGATATGCAATGGAATAGTACTTGGCTCCGAGAAAAGATGGAAGCATGGCTGCCTTTATGTGGGCTGAGCCAGAGGGCATCCATCATGCTGCATGAAGTCAGAGAGGGACAAACACGAAATAGCCTCTCCTTAGATGTGTGATATAAAGAACAGAGCAAGGGAATCATAAAGGACTCTGGCTGATAAATATGCCACATATATAACAGCTTAAATTGCTTTAAGTTTTACCAATTTTCTTTTCCTTTTCTGATCACTGTGGAATTTAAAACAAGTCTACTCTAAGTATACGTTACTGCAAAAACACAGATGCAGAATCTTTAAAAGACTTCACATATGTCTCTGAAAACTCTCAGGACAGGTTTCCCCCCACCCCCTGTAGAACTACTTCTCATTGTAGTAATTCATTTAAGATAGTATGAACTGATATGAAAAGAAATTTCTGCTGTTGCACACCTGAACTGAGCAAATGGGGTCACAGTTCAGAAGTACAGCTTAAAAACTTTTTTTCCCCTCAAATAAGCTTTCTAACTGTAATTGCTCTGGGGCCAGAGTGCTAGTACAGCGTGTAGGGTGTGTTTGTGTTTGTCTTGCACATGACAGGTTTGGATTTGATGCTCAGCATCCCATATGGTTGAGCCTTGCCAGAAGTGATCCCTGAGACACAGCCAGGAGCGAGTCCTGAGCACTGCTGGGGGCACCCCCTACCAATCAACCAACTGTAACTATTTTTATTCTCATTTATTATGAGGAAAATGACCTACAATACAAAAGCCTTGTCCAATATAGTAAAATGCAATGTTCAGTTTTTCTGAACTTTATACTCATACTTAAAATGTATATCTCTCTGTGTGTATATGTATGTATATGTATATACACACAGCATATAGAATCTCTCGAGCAGTATTTAGCAGAAATTCTTTTTTGCAGTTTGAAACAGTAGTATGTGGCAGAGGTGTTGGTGGGTTCCACCCCCATTTGCCACCACTATTAGCTTAAGTACTTCTAAGGCTCAATTTTCCCACTCAAAAATTGAAGTTTTAAATTTAAAAAACCAACACACAAAATTTCAATTATATTCATAATCAAAATGACTGAGTTTTTACTGTCAGTAAACAGTACACATGATCAAAGCAAAATTAAATGTTTTAATAAATAATTAAGCCCAAATAAATAATTGGCTAGAAGCATCGAATTTGACTGTGAGGAACACAGGTTAAGAAAGGAAGCCTGGCTTCTGAGCAGATGGCATTACCAAGCTCGGATCCACGTCGACTCCTCGGGACTCCAGGTTCTTTCGGACCGTGGTGATCTCGTCACTCGCCAGGTAAGCAGGGTGCTCCTCGTTACATTTCAGCATCTTCTCCAATTCATTCTTGGTTTCATTGTGAATACTCTTTAACATGTTTAAAAGAAAATTGAGTTTAGAAAGTTCAGGTCTTAGCTCACTTGCAGAAATGAGTCCCAATTTATACGAACACATTTTTAATGCACTTAAACCCAACACAGAAACAGAAGGAAGAATATAGCATCCTAGCTGTGAGTACAAGGCACTGGGTTATGAACGGAGAATCAGCCAGACAGGAGAGACCAAAAGCAAACAAACATATAAACAAACTTGTCCTGTGTATATATCTGTTGAAATGTTTCACTGTTTCCATGATTGTTCTTGCCTGCAGGATGTGATCTAAATTTAAGGACTGTGGTGTATAACAGGGAAGAGATAATGTCCGATGAATGCCTCCTATCTAAGTACTAGATTGCCGTTAGAACTTGAAGCTACTGATATGTTTCTTTTCTGATAAATCAGTAAAATTCAGTTTGATTTTCTTCAAAAATCTTTCATCTTAATAAGTGTTTTTCATAAGGCATTGGGGGAGAGAGGTGCCTGGGTCTCACCCAGCGGTGCTCAGGGCTTACTCCCGACTCTGCTCAAGGATCACTCCTGGCAGGGCTCAGGGAAGTTTGTGTTGTCTGGGGCTGAACCTATGTTGTCTGGGTACCAGGCAAGCTCCTCGCCCCCTGTTCTATCACTCACTCTGGTCTCATCATTAAAGCATTTTCATCCTGTTTGAGGCAAATTCTGTGAGATATCTGATTCTTAAAATCATTTCTTGTCTCTTCTCTATAGTTGCTTATAATCTCTTCACCAAAGAAGGAAAACATATCCACTAGTCATCAGTTTGAGAAAGATTTTTACATCGTTTCAAGTCCATAATTTTAGTTTTCAGTCCTCCTTTCAAAATTGCATGGTAAAAGGAGATAAAACAACAACAACAACAAAGAAACCCCCAAGTTTCAAATTCACTCACATTTTGTACCAAATTGCTGGGTGTGTCCCATACAGCATTTTGTACCCAACTGTATCAAGTTATGGAATCTGAGTGTATTAGAATACAAACAAAATCATGTAATGTTTGAAGAGAGGAGGTCTGAGGAGAGCTTGATTAAGTAGACCTGACATGAAACCTCTAAAATTTTTATATATTCTTTCTGGGTTTCCCTAGAGCTGCTCAGGGGCCCACTCCCAACTCAGTCAACAGAACTAGCAGCTTGGTGCTGAGTCCCAAGGTTGTGGTACACCTCAGGCCCTGTGATGCGGGACCACTGGAGTCCCGAGAGAGGCGTCTGGGAGTCTCCTGAGCAATGCCTGGTAAAGAAAGCTTTCTTTTTATTTATTTTTGGGGGGGGTGGGGCTCGGCGAATTCTATGTGGTGCTGCAGGCTGAACCTAGGCTTGTCACATACAAGGGAAGTGCCTCAGCTGCGTTCTATCTCTCTGGCTTATTAAAAATAAGCTTTATTTTTCATGAGAAAACAAAACCTATATAGGCCAAGGATATGACTCAATGTGTGGAACTGGCCTTGGGCAAGTGAGGCCCTTGGGTCTGATCTTCAAAGCTCAACCAAAACCAAAACAACCCATCAGAAAAATGAGGAGAGAAGAGACATTTCCACAATGAAGTCACAGGTACAGCGAACAGGTACCTGAAAAAAATCTGTGACTATTAGAAACACACATCAAAATGACAGTGAAGTATCATTTCATATGAGCAAGATGGTCTATATGAAAAAGACCAGAAACGGTAAGTGCTGGTGGGGGTGGGATGAGAACGTAAATCCATTCACGGCTGGTGGAACTGTCGTAGGGCTCAGCCACTTTGGAGACAGGTTTGAAGAATTCTCAGAACAAAATGAGCAGAACTTTCAGTGATTCTACTCTTAGGCATCTGTCTACAAACACAGAAACACTTAATCTTGAAGATGCGTGTACCTGTGTTCATAGTGGCACTACTTCAATAGTGAAGATCTGGAAACCCAAGAGCCCAACAACAGATGAGTGGGTAAGGAAACTGTGGTACACAAATGTGGTATGTACACACACACACACACACACACACACACACACACACACACACAGGAATACTATTAGCTATGGGAAAAAGATGAAATGTAGCAGTGTTCTGCAAGTTGGATAGAATTATGGGGTGTTAAGCTAAGTGAAGAAGTGAGTCAGAAAGTTTAAGATAAATACCAGATGACCGTGCTCATCTGCCAAAAAAAACGAAACAAAACAAAACAAAAACCCAACAAAAAACCAAAACCCAAACCAAAGAAAAGGACTAGATAATCCGCAGTGCAAGCAAATCCTGAAAAAGAATCAATAGAACAGGGAACTGAGGGGCTGAGGGGAGGGGTTAGGGGAAAGGCCGCTGGGATAATGGTGGAGAGTCCTTTTTGAAACACTGGTCAAGGAACCGGTGCAGTGATCTTTAACTATTACATAACTTCAAAAGTATTAGAAACTAGCTGGAGCGATAGCACAGCGGGTAGGGCATTTGCCTTACACGCGGCCAACATGGCCGACCCGAGTTCGATTCCTCCGCCCCTCTCGGAGAGCCCGGCAAGCTACCGAGAGTATTCGATATGCCAGACACAGTAACAACAAAGTCTCCAATGGAGACGTTACTGGGCCCGCTCGAGCAAATCGACGATCAACGGGAGGGCCTTTACCTTTACCTTTACCTAGAAACTATGATACCTCAATAAAAAAATAACAAAAGTACCTATGAGATACACTGGTGATTCTGATGCCCGTCCCCTCTAGACCCGAGTGTGGTTTCTGTTCTGCTGTGAGCCTGGGCCTTCTGTGGGACCCAGAGAGGAAGGCTCTTCTCTGAAGACTTTCTGGGCTCCTTCTAGGCTAGAGAGTCTGACAGTGACAAACTAATCTCTCTGCTTCCTGAAGCAATCTTCTGGGAATCAGGTTCTTCAAAAATAACTTCCAACAACTTCAATACTAACTGGGAGTTGGAGAGACAGTACAGTGGGTAAGGCGCATGCAGAGGAAGGATCAATCTCTAGCAGCCAACTAGTCCCGAGCCTGCCAGGAGTGATCCCTGAGAGCAGAGCCAGGGTAAGCTCTGAGCACCACTGGATGTGACTCCCCCTCCCTCCCCAATAAAATAAAACAAATTCTTTAAACAAACAAACAAAAAAACCACCAAAGTTACAACCAGGAAAGGAATGATTTCTCTCAGAGAAATTATTTGCTGAAAGCATACTTCCACTAGCAGCTCTGCCATCACCTATTGGGGAGACACACTATGCCTAATTTCACTAAGCCCTGAAGGACAGGTACTGTTTTTCTTTGGAGTTTCTCTGCTTTACAACCATTCTTCCCAAATGCTTTATCTTCCTGTGTCTAAGTCCGAATTCTCTGACGGGTGTCTTGGAAATTTTTTGCTGCCAGACCTCCTTCCTACTGCCATTTTTAAAGCCAAGATAGCTGAGGCTCCCTGAAGACAGGCTTGACCCAGCAACTAAGTCTGCATTTCCTCAGCTTCTCCTCAGCCTTCTGATCATTTTTCCAACAGAAATCACAACAGACACAGGCGAGGAAGACTATGCTACATACAACAAGAGACTCACACCTGATAGACAACTTATGAAACAAGAAATGCATGAAATTAGAAAACAGAATGCTTGCTATACAATTTAGCTAAGACAATAACAAAAATATGGCGTATCATTTGGTAATTTAAAAAATTTTTCTTCTCTCTCAGGATATCCACACTTAAGTCTCCTTTGCCAAATGTTATTAATTGAAGAAACAAAGGAAAGGAAATTACTTTATGAATTTAATTCTAAATTCTACTTAAAATTGTAAATTGAAGGAATAAAAACATGACAAACAGGAATAAGTCTGAATGCGAGTTAGAAAAAAAGCACAAACAATAAAGAATAAAAAGGGGTGAAAGTGGGGCATTCCATGTTTTATGGATATCCCCTCTATAAACTCATTTATAAAGTTATTTAACTTGTCTTTATCATTTGGTTCTGCTTGTTGTCCTTTTGTTAAAAGTGATCAGTAAATGGGTGGATATAATAATTCTACTTCCTGCATGATTTTTTATACTTTGCATATATTGGAGCAAATCCCAAATAAATGAATAATTTTTTTTGGGGGAACATTTGGTGGTGTCCAGGGCTTATTCCTGGCTGTGTCAGGGGACTAGAGGAAGGCAGGCTCTATGCAAGGTAAGCCCTTGGGGCCACTGTATTATCTCTCTAGCCCCCAAAATGAGTCATTTGAATGAATGGAAAAATCTAAAGAGAGCAGAATGAGGAAGAACAGAAGAAGCCTTTAACATCATTTGCTCTAATTATATTCTTCCTATATCCTCTGAAAAGCTTATCATTTTCCCCTTCTATATGTAACCTCAATCACCATTGTAATCTCAAATAGGAATATGAAATAAAGGAAGTGTTTATTCGCCTCTTCCTTTTTAATAAAATACTCTACTTGAAAAATACATTTATTATGGTAGCATAGTTCATATTTTAAAGAGTCATTATATTTTAGAATGGCTGATGTAGAATCTGACATTCTTTAGTCTTGGTATGGGGGTCTAGGTCAGCAGTGTTCAAGGACTCCTTTGGGCTATTTATTTATTTTTACCTGTTCTTGGGTTCGATTTTTCCAGTACATCCATCTCTTTTTCCAATCTGGACCTATCATATTTTCAATTGCATCTTCAGCTAGAAAAAAAAAGAATAATATGAATATAATGGTAATTTTATAACTTACCAAATATATATATATTTATTACAAATAGTCTTGCTTTCGTATTTACTTTGAAGAACTTTATCAACATAACTGAGATAAAGAAAAATAAGTAGAATTGAAATGGTATATAAAAAAGAATTTAATTATGGGGTCAGAGCGACAGTACAGCAGGTAGGGTGCTTGCCTTGCAGGTGGCTGACCTGGGTTCAATCCCCAGCACCACATGTGAGCACAGCAGTGCAAAGGCAGGTGTATACGTTGAGTACTGCTGGCCATGGCCCCCCCAAACAAAAATAAGTGAAAAGAATTAAATTATGTTTACACTGCATGAAATGTATAACTGTCTAGAAAGTTCCCATTAGTAGAGAACAGAGAGAGCTTAAAGACTGGAGCACAGGCCCTGAATCAGATCCTGAGCATGATGGCATGGCTCCTGGCCACGACCAGCTATGGCCCTGGTGGCCCCAGCTCTGGGGGTGCTCCTGGTGACCCCTATTCTCTACCTACGGCAAAGTATCATCGGGAGAGGCCACCCCAGGGCTTTACTGGGAGCTCCCCATCCCACTGAAAAAATTTTTAAGAAGTTCCTGTAAGTACAACAAACACAAAAACAGTCTAAATGATAGCGCTGTAGATTATTACAATGTACAGAAGGGTTTGAGATTACTAAGCAGCTGACTGAAACAATCTCAAACAACATACAACTCTAGTATTCATGACAAATGCTTGAAAATATTCATTTTGTTTTCAGAAATGTTGACCCAAGTTGGATGGCTCCTTCACCATGAAAATGTGCAAAACTCCAATCCCTTCAGCCCCTACTTACTGTCCTTGAGGCGAGCCTGAAGAGCCTCTTCCATGAAATAAATGGCTGCATCCCACTGCTGCTTATCAGATATGGACCGATCTTCTAGAGCATTGTGCTGAATAACCCTCTGAAGAATGAGGAAAGAACAACTGAGAGTTTCATTTATGTCTGATTATTTCAGTAATTTTATGCAACTTGGCAAATACATAGAATAACAGCTGCACTTGAGACAATACAAGAGCCCGTCCCTCCCTGGCAGAGGCAGGGGACCTGCCATCTGCCCGCTTATTCGTCAGCTTTCTCTCTGAAAGATCAACAGCAGAAATTTTCTCCAAGGCCCCATGAATGAACTGACCATTTCCAATACAGCTGGGGAGCGAGAGAAGCATACTACACATCGAACAACATGAAATTCAACACGCAAACTCTAGAGTCAGAAGTTATCTCTTCCTTGTCTTTGGGCCACCTGGCCTATGTGTTACATTTTCAAAAGAGGAGATGAAAATCAAGAGGACTGCTTAATAAGTAAATAAAATAACGTTCCCCAAATACCTAGCATAATTTCTGACATCTGGTAAGCATTCAGCATATGGTAATTATTAGTCATGATTTTATGAGCCTAATACTTTATGAGTCAAATCCACTGAAAATGGATGCATCGAATTCCTCTCATTACCAGAGAGAATGAAAAATGAGAAGCAGTTATCTGTGGCTTAGGGTACAATGGAATGGCTAATAGATGACAAGAAGTGGATTTTTATAGAAGTCTGTTTATTACAAAGTTTGACCTTTTTTCCTGGTATGACAGGCAAGAAAGAAATAGTGAAGCGTGATTTTAGAAGGCCAGAAAAATGTCAAAGAGCTCATTATAAATCATACGTCTATTTTTTTCTTCATCATTTTGAATTCAGAATCGAATTTGAAGTCATAACAATAGTCTACTACAATCAAGAATCAGTTTGAAAAGCTGAATAAAAATGAAGCATTATAAATATACAAATGGCATACCAAACTGTCCTCTGCAAAATCATTCCACTTATGGCGTTTAATACTTTCTTCTTTAACAGCCTGTTTAAGCTTATCAAATATGTCATCATGTTCTTTTCCTTTTGGTTCTGTCATGAAGCGGGAAAATTCTTCTTGGAGGGTCTCCCAAGCAACCTAGAATATAAAGGGGAAAAAGTCTGTTATTGACCCTATCTATTCTAACCTAATATATAGCATTAAAAAATATATGAATTCAAGGCAAAGTGATGTGACTAACCAGTTTATCAGAAAATATTCATGAAGAACAGGCAGCTGATAGAAACTCTGGCCGAACCTCACCCTCTAGCCAGAGGGATGGATTTGGTTGGCCTCCTAATGCATTTTACTAGACATGCACAGCATTTTACGTTAAAAAAAAATGTCAATTAAAATTGAGACACAAGGTTATAAAATTAAGAGACTTCATATAAAATTTCAATTTTAAGAACTCCTGAACAGTCACCCAAGCTTCTACGCCACTGCCTGTTAGAATCACTCCTTATGCATGCTTGTCCGTTGCTTTATACTGACTTATTTCATCCTGTATGACATCTAAGTTTACATGTTTCTTTCATTTAAAATTTCCTAATGATTCTCATCTTCATATCTTTGCCTTGCAGCAGATATAAAGCAGTGCGTCAAGAGGCTCAAGCATGAATTTAGCTTTGTGCTATTAAACTTTATAGCTAACTCCTAATGATCTCAACAGTGAAAGAGAACAAAGTCCAAAGTAACTATGAGTTAAATCTACATGTGGTTAAATGTGCTATTTAATGCTGTTTTCCCCTTAATCCTCTTCATTATTTGACAAAAATAAAGGCAACTATACTACCAGGAATACTTTCCCAAGGATTAAAATCGATCTTTATGGCCCTCCAAATCGTGCTTCCATATTCAGGTTCGAAGGGGAAAGGGGACGGAGACGCAAGCACTGCCCCTACCATTCCCACTTCTGCAGCTGAGCCTGAAAAGGAAACTCCTTTCACGGGACAGGGCCTCAGAAACTCTTCGGACAGCCAGTGAACTGCAGGGAGCTGCTCTCAGATTAGGAACGAGGGGTTCGCAGCTCTCTGTCCAGGGACAAGTGGGTCTAGAACTGAGCGCGGTCAGCAACAGGAGCTCAGGCCGGGAGCGAGGGGGCTGTAAGACCAGCGGCTGCAGGCAAGTGGAGACAGGGGTGAGGAAGGAGCAGGATAAGGAAGGGGTAGAAGACGCAGGAATCAGGGAAAACTGACGTCTTGTTAGAAGGGACAAAAACCAAAACTAGTTGTCACTCCTGTTTGCATGTGAGAACAACCTCGCATGAAGAACAGGGCACTCCCAGCCGGAGCAATCTTTCTCAGAGAAGCATCAGCACGACGGGCTGCTCAGTCCGATGCCCGCGTGGGTGGCCATCAAGGCAGCAGCCGGCACTGACCGGGCAGCTCCTGGACACCAGGGATTACTAAAGCATTTTAGAGAGATGACCTTCAGATATTAACTCTTAAAGATAATATTCCTTAGAACAACCTACGTGGCAGCATTAAATGTGTTGCAGAGGTGAGGAAACAGAAGGGGTAAGCAACTATCTCAAGGGTCACACCACTATGAAGTGGCAGAAACAAGATACCTGAGAGACAGAAATATGCTCCCTCATGACCCCAGGCCTAACCTCCTGTCAGATGGGCACCAGGGAATTATTTCAGTATAAGTGAGTCCTGCAGAAAATCAACTCATCAAACATCACACCCATTTAAACTGTCTTTATGGAACTGCTGTCCAGAGAAGTTAAAGATATTTCATATCCAAGCAGAGTTTGCATGCTTTGTTAAGTGCTCTCTTTGGAAGAACCAGAACCCTCTGAACAACATCCCATTAACTAAGTAGTCACTTCTTGTATCAACAGTGACGAGTAGCAGCAGTGAGAGTAATGTCAACATAGAGATGGGGAGGAAAGACTCAATGAAAGAGAGTGGCAGTGATGGGAATAAAACCTAAAATTCACAGCTCCTGCTCCCTGCAGATAATGCTTCTTACCCATTGAATTAAATTATATCCTAACCTCTACTGCTTTATTGGGAAGCTGCTTATCAGTCCACTGTTTAAGCTTGATGTCCACTGTAGTATTAAAAGTCCCAGAGTTCATGGTCTGTGCAGCTGGGAGATAGATGTTTTCAATCACATGACTCGACACTCTTTCCCACAAAGACTGCTGAAGAATTTCCTCCCTGTAATGAAAAAAAAAGTTTCAAAGACCCCAAGTTAAAATGTAATATTTTTTCCTCCTTTTTTGGGTCACACCTGGCAATGCTCAGGGGTTACTCCTGGCTCTGCACTCAGGAATTACCCCTGGCGGTGCTCGGGGGACCATATGGGATGCTGGAAATCGAACCTGGGTTGGCCGTGTGCAAGGCAAACGCCCTGCCCGCTGTGCTATCGCTCCGGCCCCGTAATATTGTTTTAAATGACAGCTTTTTTGAGTCTTATAAACTAACAACAAGTTGCAAGTTACTTAGGGTTTTGACTATGCAGGATCCCAAACAACAGGGTGACATGTCCATTATTCCTCAAGGCTGTAACTGCCTGATCTTTTGCTTCCTGTCAATGCCAATTCATTTATACTTCACAGAATTTTACACAAATGTAGTTATAGTGCATGTTCCTTCTCTCTCTCTATCTCTCTTTCTCTCTTATTTTTGCTTAATAGGATTCCCCTGCATGGCATCTGAGTTATTTTCAATTGTTGGGGAGTTACAAGAAAAGCTGTTATGGTATTCATGCACAGGAATTATTCCTCTTGTACAAATATTTAGGAGTGGGATGGCTGGATCATATGGCAATTGCACAGTTAACTTTTAAAGACACTGTCAGACTGTTTTCTAAATGTCTGAAGCATTTATATGCCAGCAGTTTAGGAGAGTTCTAGTTTAGTCAAATCTTACTAGCAATTGGCTAGTAACGTTTAATCTTACTCATTTTCATTTGTTTGTAGAGGTACTGTATAGGGGTTTTAATTTACACTGACTAGTATTAATGGTTAATTACAGTAAGGGTATTTTCATGTGCTTAGTTGTCTTGTAGAACTCCATATGTGCTAACTGTGAAAGAGTCCAAAACTGAAAATTCTTAGTATAATTTTAACAATTTATCATAGAACAAAGCACAGGTATAACAAAATACCACTAGGTAAAATTGATCAAAACCTCATGACTAATGTAAAGATATAAAACATGTATAATCAAACTAAACACACTCCTTTAAGCTTTTATTTTTGGACAACAACATATCTTTAAATAAGAAAAAGAAAACTATTTCAATCAAAAAATGAAAATGACTTCTGTTTTCTATGGTAATGAAGTACATTATACAAACATATTTATCAACCATTATCTACAGCTCAATTCTGTAGCACTGTAGCACTGTCCTCCCATTGTTTATCCATTTGCTCGAGCAGGCCAGTAATGTCTCCATTGTGAGACTTGTTACCGTGTTTGCATATCGAATACATCACGGGTAGCTTTCCAGGCTTTGCCTTGCACGCGGCTGGCCTGGCCGACCCAGGTTCGATTCCTCCGGCCCTCTCGGCAAGCCCGGCAAGCTACTGAGAGTACTCGCCCACATGGCAAAGCCTGGCAAGCTACCCCTGATATATTCGATATGCCAAACACAGTAACGAGTCTCACAATGGAGAGATTACTGAGCCCGCTCGAGCAAATCGATGAACAACAGGAGGACAGTGCTACAGTGCTACAGCTCAATTAATCATTAAAAAATGGTTACATAAAATCATTTTAAAATGCCTATATAAATATATGCATTTGCATATTTAGACAGACATTATGTATGCTATCTTATAAATGCTTCTTCTAAACTTAAAAAGTATATTATATTTTTGCATGTCAAAATCATATAGTATGTAATTCCAAGTTGCAAAAATAAACTTTAATTTTTTTATACCTTTAAGTGAAATAACAGTAAATATGCTGTGTTCAACTTTGTCAAAAGATACCTTTGTGTTCATAAATTCCTTGCAATGTAATGGCAAGGTTTAACGGTCCTTTTTATGTAATTTATTCTTCTCCATTACCTAAATCTCGAAGATAAATCCTGTCACTTTAATTTTCTAGATATCTCAGAAATGTCTCTCAAATATATTTCTTCTTCACCTGCATAACCACAATTCAAATTTGAGCCCCACGGATTCTTGTCTGAATTATTTCAACAGACAGCTGTCTCCTTTGCTTAGAGCTTCCTCCATCTGTAGTTGATTTTTCATAATACAAAGATCTTTCACAATATAAATCTGGGAGCCTGCATGCAACTGACCCTGGTTTGATCCCTGGCACCAAGTGGTACTTGAGCATTTCAACTATAGCCTTGGAGCGGACACCAAGCTTCACTGGGTATGACCATGGAGACCCCCAAGCCAAACCAGGACAGCCTGGGCAATCCTCTATGCCACTGGATCTTAGCAGCATCACATCCTCGGACCCTCACAGTGAAACGTGGGGCTAGTTGGCTGAGAATCCCTGGGAGGGCCCCTGGGACCCCTGAGCACATCTTGTTGGTCCAAAAGGAAATCTAAACCTAATCTTCAATACCCACCTTTCCCCATGACTCCAAACTTCTGGAAATGGCCGGGAAGACCTTAATATATATCTGACTAGCTCCTGGCTTTTACTTCCTTCTTTGCTCAAACCACAGGTAACCAATTTCAACTTCAACCACAGCAACCTGTGACACCTTCCTAGCTCTTATCTTTTGGTCTCTGCAATACTCCTGCCACAAATTTTACTATTACCTATTTATCCTTTAAATATCTGACTATAGAGTTGGAGAGATAGCTCAAAGGGCGGGGCACATGTTCTGAATGTGGGAAAGTTGGATTTGATTCCTAGATAACTGGTCCCTGGGTAGTTCTGAGAATGACGCTTGAGCACAGTGCCAGGAGTAGGCCCTGAGTACTGTCAGAAGGGGTTTAAAAAACTCCCCAAAAGAAAAGAACAGAAAACTCATTTTGTAGTATCAAATTCTTGATTCCTCAGATCTGAATTATGAGACTCAATGGTACATTAATTCTGTCCTTTGGCTCTTCAGTTTGTTTTCTGGGCCACATCCAGAGGTGCTCTGGGGTTACTCCTGGCTCAGTGGACCACATGGTCCATGGAACCTGGAGCTCCTGCATCAAAGTACGTGCTCCATCCCTGCAACTGATCTCCAAGGCTTACACTTTTTATTTCTGAAATCGCAACAAAATAAAGGGAAAACTTTTGATCAAAAACCACATAGACACATTAGAACATTTCCAGCATGTATTTTCTATAAACTTAGCCAGTCCTTATTCCCAATGACGTACAACAAAGAAATGCCTATGCCTATAACCACATTTGTTAATGATATACCAAATCTCTTGCTTAAGGTCAACAAGTTATTTCTGAAGACAGGTGTACTGTGTGAAATGTTGAGGCTTATTTCTAACCATAATGTAACATATGTCAAATCTTAAGTCCCAATAATTTTTTTTAATTATAATTAAGGTACAGGAGAATGTCCACAAATGAATAACAAGTGATCAGGATAGAACGTTAAATGCTTAAAACACTGATTCAAAATTGCCAAATAGAGTTCCACCAGTCCTGTGACAAAAAGCTGATTACAATCACTTTAGATATCTATCTGAAACACCACAAATTACATGAGAAAAAGATATTAACTAAGACATCATCTTTATCATTAAAAAAATATGCTTTATTTAGATATACTGTGGTTGAATTCATTGTGGCATAAAGAGTTAAGATTAGGGACTGCTATTCTGGTATATATGGGCTGGAGCGATAGCACAGCGGGTAGGGCGTTCGCCTTACAAGCGGCCAACATGCCCGACCCGAGTTCGATTCCTCCGCCCCTCTCGGAGAGCCCGGCAAGCTACCGAGAGTATTCGATATGCCAAACACAGTAACAACAAAGTCTCCAATGGAGACGTTACTGGGCCCACTTGAGCAAATCGACGATCAACGGGAGGGCCTTAAAAAAAAAAAAATTCTGGTATATCTTTGAAGTCATAGGGCCTGAAAAAGAAAATTGATTAAAAAAAGAGACAGAATCACCTGATCCAAAAGTTGATAGAATAACAGTTCTCTCCTTCACCTTCGCAAAAGGCGACCTGGCAACAGAGGTTTCTCTGCCTCTTCACAGCTCCCTTCAGGTACTAGTGTGCTAACCGATCTTCAAGGATTGCTTTGTGTAGACATACTTGAATCTCAGACCTACTCTCCCCAAACTGACCATCTCACTTAAGGACACCAGAAAAGTTCAGAGGTAGTATATATATCTCCCATAAACAGCACTAGTAAATGTAGCTGACAAATCACTTTTCCAATTACTTGACTTCTAATAACCTAGCAGGGAAGTAGCAGCATACTTGTTCTGTGTGGATACACATATGCATCTATCTTTTGCAGTTTCAAAAGTGAATTGGTTGACAGCAATAGAACTGGCTTAAAACAGAAACAACTTTTTAAAAAAGGTAGCACTGCACTGTAGCACTGTCCTCCCGTTACTCACTGATTTGCTCGAGCGGGCACCAGTAACATCTCCATTGTGAAATTTATTGTTACTGTGTTTGGCATATTGAATATGCCATGGGGAACTTGCCAGGCTCTGCCGTGTGGGCAGAATACTTCTGGTAGCTTGCCAGGCTCTTCGAGAGGGATGGAGGAATCGAACCTGGGTCGGTTGCATGCAAGGCAAGTGCCCTACCTGCTGTGCTATCGCTCTAGCGCTTTAAAAAAAGTAACAAATTGGGGGCTGGAGTGATAGCAGAGTGGGTAGGGCATTTACCTTGCATGCTGCCAACCCGGGTTCGAGTCCCAGCATCCCATATGGTACCCTGAGCACCGCCAGGAGTAATTCCTGAGTGCAGAGCCAGGAGTAACCCCTGTGCATTGCCGGGTGTGACCCAAAAAGCAAACAAACAAAAAAAGCTAACAAATTATACTCTACATACACACCAGATTAGTCAATCAGCATATCTAAAGCAAAAACTCTCTTTTGAATAGAGAGATTAAAACTTTTGATTGCTTGAGGAGAGAAAAGCAAGTGCTCAGATGGGGAAAACCAGACACCGAGTTCAAGCTTAAGAACGATACACTACAGTATGGGTAAAATTCTGATAATCTTCAAATGAACAAACACAAGAAGTACAGAAAATATATAAAATTAATGGCAGTCGGGATAAGAGTGATAGTACTAGGATAGTACAGTGGGTAGGATGCTTGCCTTGCACATGGCAGACCCAGATTCGATCCCCAGCACTCATATGGTCCCCCAAGCCTGCCAGGAGAGATCTGTGAGCACAGAGCCAGAAGTAAGCACTGCTAGGTGTGGCCCCCAAACAAACAAAAAACGTATAACAGCCAAAATAATAACATCAATAATAACAAATTCTTAAAAATGACACAGATTTCATTAGGAAGATAACCCATGCAAAAGGAGATGGTTAAATTAAGATACAACTGCAAAGATGTCAAGGTAAATTTTTGTATAACCTGCATGAAGTGTATAAAGCCTATGGTTAAAGTGTACAAAGCCTTGGGTTACAAAGCCATGGCAAAATTTGCAGAAGAGATAAACGGAAGGATCCAGGAAGACAGCTCCACAGGCTGAGTGCGTGCTCGGGATACAGGAGCCCTGAGTTCGATCCCTGGCACTGGCAGGAAAGACTGAGCCAGAAGCTGCCCCTGAGCACTGCTGGGTGTGGCCCAAGAACAGAATCAAAACACCAACTGAAGGTAATAGCTTGCTCTGAAAGGGATTTGCATGACTATTCTTAAAAATGATGCACTTAAGGCTATTAAAGATATTCTCAAGTATGATTCTTAAAAAAATAGTATTTGAAAGGTGATTTTTACATAAAATATTAGACACATGCTACAAAAGTTCCAACTGTCATTACTCCAAAACAAGAACCTGAAAATAGACAAACTGTTTCTTTCTATATCTGCATTTTCTGATTACTTCAGTAAGGGCAACCAGGACCAACACTTTGATACATACGTAAGTCATATCTTGATGAAACAAGGCCTACATTAGTCTACAGAAATACAATTTATGCATTAAGTAAAATATAAAGAAAAGGCAAAATGAAGGAAGACTTAAAAAGAGCATGAAGAAAACTATCTCTTAGATTAGCTCTTCTCAAGATACTTAACAAATAATTTACCATCCTAAAAAATATAACTGGTTAGACAGACAACAACATAAGTTTAAATTTTGTACAAAGACATACTTCTATTTCCTGTTTACTAAGTGTTGGGGGGTGTGGATGAGCCAAGGCTACAAGGCTACAATAAATCATGGCCTTATCAATCTATACTTTAGTATTTCATTATAATTCTTTGAATAAAGTCTCTCTTAGAAAAGGTCAAATACTCACCAATGTTTTGGTGTAACCTGGCTCAGACTGATCACCTCATCAAGGATTTCATTTTTAGCTTTTTCGAATAGTTCGTTCTAGGCAATAAAGATAGAGGTTAGTGTAATTTTGAGAGTTAACTAAAGGCCTCTAACAGATTAGCAGGTGAAGATTAAGTTTGAAGCAACTATGACCATGGTTTCTTTCTTAAGAATGTACCAGTATTCAGAGAAGGTCAAAAAAAATGATGAACTGCCTGCTTATTCCCTCAATTCTAAATGTAGTTTTTTACAAAACATTTTCTTTTCAGATAAGATTTTCACATAGCAACGTTGTACTAACGTATCAACACACTTCAAATGATACTCAAGTCAGAGAAAGCAACATTCAGTCCCATGACAGTCTGAAGTTTTACACGAACTTAGTAAAACCTTTGAAGAAATCGTTTCTAAATACTTGTCTTAACAGCCTATGTTTCCAAATTATTTTTAAATAATCATAATAAAGATTTTAATTATAGAAGAGAACAACGCTCTGAGAACTATATCTCACAGGTCTAAATTATTTATGGTTAAAACAAAAACAATTTTGATTACCCAATTTCTCTCATAAACTGAAATTCGTTGGGTTAAACATGAAATATAAGCAAAACACATGAAGTACATAGACATTACCCGGTCGAGTTCTCGGAGGCGAGGGTAGTTATTCTTCCACTCCGTTTCAAGGTTAAAACGCGTTGCTGGGGAAGAAAGACAGACGCTCAAGTTTAAAGATTCCCACTCTTTCTTGAAGCAGTGGTTGAGTGCTGTCATTGGCTAAATTTCTGGGTGTTCCCCTAGCACGCTGGGTTTCAAATCTCTCAGAATTCCGCCTCTTGGTCAGAGCTCTCTACACTCTGTGACTCTCGCTCCTCCACATCCAAGCCCCCAAATACACATGGAAGCAGCTGAGTCCAGCCGCCGGGAGCAGGCATGCTAGCATCACACCAACAGGGTCAAATTCTGAGTTCTTTTCTGTTGCTGTAGGAAACTGGGTGTGTCATTGGCTAAGTTCACTCGCTGCATTGTTTCCTTTTCAGTAATAGGGGCATAATCGTCAATCACACTCAGAGAGTTGCGGCAGAAATATCTAGTATAACTAGGTAGGATGTCCAAATGTAAAAAAAAAAAAAAAGGTGCATGTTCATCAAGTAACACTATGGAAGCAAATTCATAGATGAGGAAGAGTAGGGCTCAGGAGGAGTGGATGCCAGGGGCGCACGGAGGCTCGGCACCCCACAGCTGCTCTCTCTCCCCTCAGATGGGGGTGCTGAGTCCTCGATAGTATAGTATAGTGGGACCTTTGTCCCAAATGCTCCTGCAAACTACCCGTACGTCCAAACTTCACAGGTGGCTCCAAGGAACATTTTCTTTGAATTGGGAAATTCTACACTTACAGTAGCGCAAAATGGCATTCATCCAAATTTCTATGAATTATCTAGTAGTAAACTAACAGAATGATTCAAGAAGAGGAGTACTGGGTCCAACTGATGCTAACAAAATGTTTAAATTTGCTTCGTTTAAAAATCCTACTTACCTTTGAAACTATCAGCTTGTTGTTCAACTGACTCTCGTACCATTTTCCAGAAACAGTCTGAAACAGCAAGACTTAAATTTCTTGTAGTCACTTGGTGTGCTTTCAGCATGCTTGTCCTATAAAAAGCAAAATTGGGAAAAAAAGGGAGAATGCTACTACTACCATATTTGAAGATTAAGAATGATTTTTCAGAACAAGAACAGTCACACACATACATACCAGCACCATCCAATAACACTTTCTGTGATGAAGCAATCATTTAGTGTCTGGGTTATCCAATATGGTTACCAGTTACACAGGGTTACTTAACTTTGTTTGTAATATGTGACTGAATCACTGAGGAATGAATTTCAATCTTGCTCAATGTTAAATAATTTATATTTGACAAGTGCATAAAGTTAGTGACTACACTACCACACTAAATAGTACAATTTTACACACTTATCAGCTACCCTTACAATAGACAAATCAATATTCTTTGTAAGAACCATCTTGATATTTTATTTGATTAATCTAGAAGCAAACACACTTTTCCATTTCAAGAAACCCTCTACGTATAAATTTTTAATATGATCCAATTATCCTTTAGCTTTTTCCCTTGTCTCTCAATATTTTACCTTCCATTTCTATAAATATCTTTTTAGTGATTCTTGATAGTCCTACCCCTTATCTCATCTTCCCTTAATACTCTAAGAGAAACATGTATACAATATTCAAAACTGAGTTATGACTTTAAAAATCATTTTTATAATTTAATATACATTTTCATTATGTTTGTACACATCCCAAACAGCAGTTTAATTACAGTATTTACTGTCACATGTGATGATTACTCCTAATTATGACTAAGTAGCTTAAGAACTTGTTTTGGAATAAACGTTAGAGGGGCTATAGTGATAATACAGTGGGTGGACACTTGCCTTGCACACAACCAACCCGGGTTTGATTCCCGGCATCACGTATGGTCCCCTGTGTCCCACCAGGAGTGATCCCCGAGTGCAGAGTAAACCCTGAGCACCGTTGGGTGTGGTCAAAAAACAAAACAAAAACCAAAAAACCCCAATGTTGGAAAATCAATTATTAAACTAATAACAATACAACAAATGTTTAGATGCAAACAGTTTGAAGGAAACTCTCACTGTAAAATCCTTCAATATTCAAAGAAGACACTTACTTGAGGAGCTTTGAATTCTGAAAAAATTCTTCTTCATACTCTCTTATAGCTTCAATGCTTTCAGAGCTGCTTCCTAGGGAGAGGTGACTGTAAATTTTCATCCTTATATTTGGGGAAAAACTAAAATTCAATTATAATAATCAATAGTACCCATGCATTCATACCTTTTCCTGTAACAACAGCAAAATAACCTAGAGCTTTCATTGGGAAAAGCTTTCCTTCAATTATCTGCTGGATCTATATTTAAAAGGAGAAAAATAAATGTGAGCTAGAGCCTTATGTAATTCTTTAAAAGTCTAATATACAATTAGAAATAACAAATGTACGCTTAGTCTGTAAATGTTTAAATGCTCATGTTTACTTTAAAATATATTGATCAGTACAAGAGCATTAAAATATATTTCAAATTCTATTAAAAATAGATTTTACTATACTGAAAAGGTATTATCAAAATAGAAGGTCTGAAAATGCAAACAAGGAGAGGGCTGGAGGGCTGGGCTGGGCTGCAAGTAGGATCCCTTGGCTCCTACTGTTTCCAAAGGACTAGGGATGTTCCCCATCCAAGCACTGCTGGGAGCAGATCCCAGAAAATATTTTAAATTGAAACTTGGAATGATATGCAGCGCTTTGGAGCATGACTTCAGTTTAAAGTTCAGTTCTGCTCTTTACTAGCTAGAAGGGTTTAAGTTCAGCTTCTGTAAGAGGCTGAGATGCCAACAGCACTGGGCAGTTAGGCTATAAACAGCTACTACTGTCTTCCTGTGTTCTTCAATTTTTCTAAATTCTTATCAAATTGCACTGTTTATAATTACTTTCTTACTTTGAAATATTTGGACCCAGCAGTTCTCAATTCTCTTGAAAAATCCTTTCCCAAACATAACAAAAACACTGGAAAAACTGTACTTTGTCCCTAGAAAAATTTGCATTTATATACAAAGATGGATCACAAAAACATGTAAGAATTTCTCCTCCTAATCCTCCCTGGATGGGAGAAGCATGCTGAAAGTAGACTCTAGACCAAACATGATTGGTGGTCAAGGGGCCACCCATTGCCTCTTTTGCAAACCACAACACCCAACAGGAGAGAGAGAACAAAAGGGAATGTCCTGCCACAGAGGCAGAGAGGGATGGGGGGACTGGGGGGTGGGAGGGATACTGGGATCCATGGTGGTGGGAAATGGGCACTGGTGGAGGGATGGTATTTGATCATTGTATAATTGAAACTCAAGCACAAAAATTTGTAAGTCTACAACTGTACCTCATGGTGTCTCACTAATAAAAATAAAAAATAAATAAATAAAATAAAAAAAGAATTTCTCCTCCTAGAAGCCCACTCAGATTAATACAGATAATAAAAATGCATCCTCTGAAGTTGATGCTCTGGAGAAGGATGGAGTGTTTAAATATTGCATACATGAAACCCGAACATTACCAATACGATAATTCACAAATTAAAAAAGTAATAAATAAACCCATGGCACCAGAGAGATAGTCCAGGGGTTAAGACACTTTCATTTGCCTGCCATGTAGTACCATAAGCAGTCCCTTGGGCACCTCCAGGAATCATGCTGGAGCACAGAGTCAGACACAAACCCTGAGCACCACCAGGTGTGTCCCCCAAATAAAACAAACGAAGAAAGGAACCCTACTCTAAGATAATACACATCTCTAAGTCAATACTAAATCTTCGGCATAAAAAAAATCTTCAATTAATATTGTATTAGAGACGGAAATGAAAGAGAGACATGAAATCACAGAATTTGCCACCATCGCTCCTCTACCTCTTTCCCTCCAGCACCCCCCCCCCCCCCCCCAATTTGGCTTTACAATAAGGCTACGTGAAAATCACAAAGATTGAGCAGAAAAGAGCCAACTCAGAAGGACCAGGCCCCACTGCCCCCAGACAGGCCGGCTTGCTCTGCTGGCATCTGGCATTCCAAAGTTGTTGAACCAATCAACATTCTGCCAATAGTTTTCTCCAAACACTGGTTGTTCTGATGTGTGCCAGTCTCACTAGTGTAAAGTGTTATCACACTGTTGTTCTGATCTGCATTTACTGTTGTTAAGTGATACAAAACATTTTTTCATATACATATGAGCCACCAGTATGTTGTTTTTAAGGAAGTGTATGCTCATCTCGTCTTCCCAATTTTTGATTGGGGTTGATTTTTTTGTTTTTAGTTCTACAAGTGCTTTAAATATCTTGGACATCAGCCCTTCCCAATAGCCAAAGTCTATACATAACCCAAGTATCCAAGAATAGACTGGATAAAGAAGTGGTTTATATACACAATGAAATACTACTCAGCTATAAAATAAAAAGGTGAAATCCTTATGGATAGAACTAGAAGGGATCATGCTGAGGAGAGACATAAATTCAGAATAATCTCTCTCATAAGTGGCCCCATACTGAGTCAATATCACCGGGGTACCCCAGATGGAGCAGGTGCAGTCTCTCTGCCTACTCCAGATGGAAACCCGGTGACCAAGAGCTTCAACAAGCAAGGCCCAGGTATGTGGGTCAGGACTAAATCTCCATGCCTCGTAGCGGCAGAGGACCTGGGCTGCCCCTCCCTGGGTACCCACCCACCCAGGCTGGCTGTCATGCCCACAATTTGCCTCCAGGCGCCATTTTAGCACACTTAGCTTTGGCCCAAAGACTCCCAATTGAATCCCAAAATGGATTAGTGCCATAGAGAGATGTCTCTGGAACCCAACCATTTAAAATCTAGAAATTTACATTTACAATCATGGCCACGAGAGTGCTCATGATATTCAAAATGAGCAATGGAAAGTAAATTATCTAGCGTCTGCCCCTAGCAGGTAGGCTTGAACAGTGGTGGGAAAATTCGAGCAAAACATAATGCTCAAAATTAGAGAGAGAGTATTGGGGAGACTGTCTGCCACAGAGGCAGGGTAAGGACTGGGATGTGTGTGTGTGTAGGGGGAGGATGCTGGGAACATGGGTGGTGGAGGGGATGGGTGTTGTTCCATCATTATATGGCTGAATCTCAAACATGAAAGCTTTGTAACTCTATCTCACGGTGATACAATAAAATAAAAAAGTGATGTGGAGTTCATGCGCAATTCAATCAACTTAATCAACGGCTGAACAAATAGCAGTACTCCTACATTATTGAAAAAACAAAAAATCTCTCTCATATGTAATATATAAAGAAACATAAGTCAGCACACGCCCCAAGGCAAGGGAAACTGAACTTAGCTGGTGCAGGGTGGGTGGAGGTAGGTGGGGACACTGAGACGGTGGTGGAGGGAGGACTCTGGTGGAGGGTGCAGTGTTGGAACACTTGCATGTATGTAACTCTAGCATTAACAATAGTGAAACTCACGGTGCCTCAAATGAGACTGAAAAACAAACCCAAACACCCTTAGGAACTCAGTCTAATGAGTTGGTGCTCAACTTGGTGCTCAAGGGATTACATGTGCCTTTGTTTTTGGCTTTTGGACCACACCTGACAATGTTCAGGGCTTATTCCTGGGTCTTCTCTCAGGAATTTATCCTGGCAGTGCTCGGGGGACCCCATGGGATACCAGGGATTGAACCCAGTTCAGACACGTGCAAGGCAAAACATCCTCCCTGATGTGCTATGGCTCGGGCACTGCTACACATGTCTTAGACGCTCTTTTGAGAGAAGGTTCTGGGAAATGTAAACCTGGGTTACCCCAGACTTCTTAGCCCCTTTCCCGTTGTAACTGCCTTAGTATACTATCATCAGGTCGGAGCAATAGCACAGTGGGTAGGGCGTTTGTCTTATACGCAGGTAACATGGCTGAGCTGGGTTGGATTCCTCTGCCCCTCTCGAAGAAGAGCCCGGCAAGCTACCGACAGGTATCTCGCCCGCATGGCAAATCCTGGCAAGCTACCCATGACGTATTCGATATGCCAAACACAGTAACAATTGTCACAATGGAGACATTACTGGGCCCGCTCGAGCAAATCAATGAACAATGGGAGGACAGTGACAGTGACAGTGATACTATCATTGTAGGCAATCTTAGGTACAAGGATGAGTATCTATACCTTCTGCAGTGGCAGAAGGTATAGATACTTAAGTCTAAGGTTGTTGTATGGGGAATAGAGTTATGATAATACACACAACAGCCACATGCTTATTATACTTTTGTGCAAGCACTATTTCAATAAATAGTTAACTTATTAAACATCCCCAACTTCTTGAGATTATAGCACTAATATCATATCCTGGGAGCCTAAAGCACTAAAAAGTTAAATAATTTTCCCTAGGTTACAGGGTTAGCAAAATGCTCAAGCAAGATTTTAAACCAAATAATTTTCCTTCACAATTAAGTAAAAAATACTCCCGTAAGTCGAGACTTGGATTTCACAAGGAATTTGCTTTATAAAGAAGTCACTGCTGTTGCTGGGGCTTCTATACAGAATCTCTTCTCTCCCCAGGAAGAAAGTGTCCTCACCCTGCTTGGACTAGCCACATTTTTCTCCGCTAGGTCTACTTTGGTCAAAACAAATATCGTCCTTCTTCCATGAGGATCCATCTGACTGACCAAGTCTGTGACAATGCTGCGCTCAGCATCCACAGATCCATCTGAAAGAGATTGAGAAATGACACCAGAATAATTGTGAAGGGGATTCTTAAAACTTCCGCAAGAGATACCCTTGTGTTAATTTCACTGGAAGAAAATAATTCCTAGCACACTTATTTCCATAATGAAGAGAAACTATACATTAAAATTTCTATGACATCTACAGTGAAATTTATGAATGAAGTTTCAGCTTCAATTCTATTTACTAGTATAATGAGTGAGAGGTCAAAATATTTACATTACGTATTTATGAAACATGACACTTAGGGAAAGTCTGAATTGTTAAGAGAAGGAAATAAATTAAAAATCTTTTCTTTTTGTTTGACTGTAGGATAACACTGTTTTGTCCTTCCTCAAGTAGCTTAGGTTTATCGGGTCACACCCATCTAAGGACACTAAACTTGTATTGTAAGCAATGTCCTTTCTGTATGGACACAGGAAGACAGTTAATATTATGCTTTGTAACTTGGGAGTTGATTGACTCCGAATAATATTTACTCCTGGGCATCTGCTTTCTCCATTCAGTTGCCCTTTGTTCCTAGCACCCCAAAAGCAGGGTCCCGACGAGGGACTGAATAGACCCAGGGCAAGCTGTGAGCTACCCTGGCATCGAAATGGGCCAGGCCAAAGCCCCACGATACTCAACCATAAGTTGAGGGCATGATCATGGACATTTGACCAGAGGTAAAGTGTGGCATGGAGGGCATTTGCCTTGCACAGTTGACCCAGGTTAGATTCCCAACACCATACACGGTCCCCTGAGCCTGCCAGAACTGATCCCTAAGTGCAGAGACAGGAGTAAGCCCTGATCACTGTTGGGCGTGGCCCAAACACCAAAAGAAAAAAACAACATCATTTTGTTGTAAATTCAAGACTTACCTTGAATACACAGTATGATTGCATTCGGATTCTGCATATAAGCTTTGCTAATGCTGAAAATGGTTTCTTTTGTGTCAGGAGCCATGCCTGCAGTCACAGTCTGGGGGAAAAAAGTTTAAATAAAATCACTATAAATGTTTTCTCCAACAGGATTAAGAGAAAAGACCTATTCCGTATGTATATACTTACATTAATCACACCTGGTAAGTCAACAAGTACCATCCGCTGTAGTCCGGGGCCTTTGACATTTAAGGATATTGTCTGCTCAAAAAAAAAACAAAAAAAAAAGAAAAGAAAAAAAGGGAAAAAAGAAAGAAAGAAAGAAAGAAAGAATGAATGAATGAATGAAAAAGAAACAATTTTGGACAGGAGTTAGAAATCTTTTGCTAATACATTTGCTGATGACATTGTTTTAATAACACCAAACATCAGCCAAGCGGCACAAATGCTGGCCGACTTTGACCATGAGTGTGGAAAGGTAGGACTACAGCTGAATCTTACGAAGACAATGTTTATGAGAAACAGCCTTGTTCCTGACGCCCCATTCACTCTCAATGGAACGACCATCTCCGAATGCAACAGCTATGTGTACCTAGGTCGAGAGGTCAACATGAGAAATGACCTGGCACCCGAGCTGCACAGGAGGAAGAGAGCGGCTTGGAACGCCTTCAAGAACGTCGAAGAAATAGCTAAGAGGACGAAGAACCTCCGGCTCCGGGCACATCTCTTTGATTCCACTGTTCTTCCTGCATTAACATATGCCTCAGAGACCTGGGCCCTACGCAAACAAGATGAGAACGCCATTCAGGTCTCCCAAAGAAAAATAGAAAGAGCTATGCTTGGAATAACACGTTTCACTCAAATGAGAGAACGAATCCGGAGTTCTGACATCCGTCGACGATCAAGGATCAGGGACGCTGTCTCATATGCCAAGGTGTCGAAAATCAGATGGGCTGGTCACGTAATGAGATTTAAAGACGACCGTTGGACTAGAGCTGTTACTGATTGGATTCCACGGGATGTCAAGAGACCGCGTGGCCGCCCACCTACCAGATGGTCAGACTTCTTTGTCAAGATCATGAACGATCGGTTTGAGGCCCTCCATGTTCCCGGAGCGAAGAGATGCCATTGGGCTACACTAGCACGCGACAGGGACAAATGGAGACGTTACTGGCGCCCGCTCGAGCAAATCGACGACTAACGGGAAGTTAAGTGATTATTAAGTGATTCAGAAAATTCTGTATCTCATCTATTTGTGCTCGGAGAAAGAAGCCATTATTTTTCTGATTCTAAAACAAATTATCCTAAAAATAATGGGGCCCAAGACATAGTACAACAGGCAAGGGGCTTGCCTTGCACACGGCCAATCCAAGTTCGATCCCTGACATCCCACATGGTCCCCTGAGCACAGTAAGGAGTAATTCCTGAGTACAGAGTCAGGAGTAACCCCTGAGTATCACTGAGTGTGTCCCCCAAACAACAACAAATAATAAAAGTAATTGTTCTAAAAATATTATTTGGAATACTAAAAAAATCTTTATCTTAGGCCGATAGTACAGTGAGTAAGGTGTTTGCCTTACACGCACACAGTCGACCCAGGTTCCATCCCCAGCATCCCATATCATGCCCCCTTAGTATCACTAGTAGTGATTCCTGAGCGCAGAGACAAGAGAAAGCCCTGAATTCACCAGATGCATCCCCAAACAAAACAAATAATGACAATACTGGGTTTCCATTAAACATGCTAAAACGAATTACAAGACTTACCTCAGAGCTCACTGTACAGCCTTCTTTCACGCTTTTCCTCATTCGGAGTTCTATTTCATGCCTTAGTGCCGCAAGCTAGTATAAGGAAAACAACAAATACACTGTTTCTTTCTTATAAGCTTACAGAGATTGTGATTATACACATGAATCCTACACGAGTTCTACTTACATCTTCCTCCTTGGTAAGATCAAACTCCCGAGAGCTATCCTTGAACAGGGCCACATGGTGAGGGCCTTCACTCAGAGTCACCTGAGAGGAACACAACGTCAAGATATCAGGACACATTTGCAATTTGTGTTCATGCACATGGTTTGTACAGGGCCACTGCAATGCACAAATCTGGATGCCACCCTCACACTGTAAATTACATTAATCGCAGTTATTAATCACATTAACTAACTGTGATTACCAGTTAACGGTAATTAATCACATTAATTTCGATCAGTGGTAATTACCAATTAATGACATTAATGACTTTGCAAATTACTCTATAATTATCCAATTTTATTTTAAAAATATAACTCCTTTTGGCATTATAAATTAGGAGCACCCCTAGGGGCTGTCAACAGTGACACAGAAATCACAGTCCTTTGCAGTGCATGCTGGTCATTTCTCAAAGAACTGCTGGCTACTTTATCATCTTCCATGACATAAAACGCTGCTGCTCCAAAGACCAGAATGCCACCAGGTCACGACCCACAATTTATGACATTTGGTTTTAGACTTTCCTATATCCTGGGAGAAACTGACATGAAGGTAAGGGGTGAGTGTGACAAAACCTAGAGTGATCTGTAAGAAAGGTACAAATGTGGGAATTTTCACCCGTGGCATGACAGTCAAGCAAGAAATAATAACTCATATATCAACAATGAGGGTTTAATGAGAACTTCTAAACTGACCACAAGCCAGTTGGAATAGTGGTGGGTTCATGCAGTGAATTCTGCAGCTATATTCCCTCAGGACACTGCTGATTTCACAGCAGAGAAAAGTATAAAACCTGCAGCATTCTTACAGCTTAAGGCAACGAAATCAGCATTCAGATTTCTCAGCAACCATAATTTAAAGTAATAATTTTTTTAAAAGGTAATAAAGTAGTAAGAAAACTGAAGCTGTCTTATGTGTCTGGTCCATGCTCTGCCTTCTGTGGGAACAGTTAACTGAGAACAAAATAGAGTTCACAATGTTTTCACAATCGTTTTTAGAGCGTAACATGGGGGTGTGGTCAGTTCATTTTCCCACCCAAATTAGAAATGTCTCAGAATCAATAAGCAAACCAGATCTGCTAAGTGTGGGACAATCACAAAATACAGAGCAAAGAAAAAGCAGCTAGGTTCATACAACATGACTGGACTCACAGCTGACTCAGACAGTGCACTCGAGGGACTACACCAAGGTGCCTCAAACTCCTCTTCACTCCATTTATGCAGTGCTTTCGGAGATCTCAACATTGTCTCATTTTCTATCACCACTGTGGCCTTATTCTTGATTATTTTAATTTGTATTCTCACAAATGAAGTAATTTGTATTTCATTTTAATGTTAACCAACTGAACATTAAAATGAAAGAACAACACCCGAAAATGCAATCATAGTGAAGTACTAACACTGAAGCCCACAGACCTTCATGGGGATCTCAGTACGATTCTGCAATCCGAGGGCTTCCCAGTCTTCATGACCTACTCCTGGTGTCGCCTAGAAGATTTCCAATTCTCCTCTTGCCTCATTCATCAATTCTTCTCCCTCTCCCCTCTCATTCCACCCAGGAAACAGAAACTATCGGAAGGAAACTTCAACCTATTCTACTTGTCTCCATGGGTAAGTTCAATAATCAATCCTCAATCTTCATCTTCACTGGTTTATTTGGCCTTTTTCATCACCCCTTCCTCTGGATGGTTTTCCTTTTGTTATTAGGTTTTGGGCCACCCCAGCAGTGCTTACTCCTGGCTCTGTATTCAGGGATCACTTCTGGTGTGCTCAGGGAACTATAAGGGGTGCCGGACACTTTCTTACCTTTACTGGAGAACGAGTCATCATCTCGCCCGAGCCTCTCGGGAATATTCGTGCCTGAGCAATCATCTCCAGCACGCTGGTTTTCCCAGCACTCTGATCTCCAACCACAACCACCTTATCAAAACATAAGTAACATTTATTCAGCATTTTATACCAACTCAAATTTAAATAAAATAAGCGAGTATTACTGAGATTTTGTTCAGCCTTTAAAATTCACCTACAATTAAGAAAGAATGGCATGCTATGTACAAAGAGTTGGAAAACTCAAACCAAGACTATTCAACCTGGCTAGGTCATTGCTCAGATTTAAAGAGGAATAAAAAAAAAAGCTTTATCACATGAACAACATTTAAAGAAACTGTTGCCACTAAAACAGTTCTCCAAGAAGTACGTTAAGGACTTTCATAAAAGGAAAAAGAAAATCCACTAATAAGTAGTAAGACCCTAAAAGTCATAAATTGTGGAAGAAGAACTGTCACTATTTTCAAATTCACTCTTATTTCCAGTCCGTTTACTTAGAAAAGTTTTCATTTCAGATACCCTATTTTTCATTTATATTTGGTTCTTTGCAGGTCTTATTTTTCTGTTGAAATAACATTTTTATTAGCATATTTTCATTCCATCACTAGTGTAATAATAACAATAACAGATTTTAGTAGTATTTTGTTCATTCAAATCAAAGTTAGCCTATATTGATTTTCTACTCTTTTTTCATTTCTAATTTTTTGGGGGTTCTGGGGTCCCACCCAGAAATGCTGAGGACTTACTCTGGCTCTGCACTCAGCAATCACTCCTGGTGGGGCTTGAGGGACCGTGGGTTCAGTAAGCACCTGATCTACTCTACTAATCCCTATCCCAATTTTCTCCTCTTCTTAAAAATATATCATGTTGTTCCAATACTATTCTTGAATGATTTTAGACTGTGTCTGAGATATTTCTATATATGCTATTCTGAGTCTTCAGATTCTCTTTCATTTCTCTGAAAAAAATGGTGCTTTCTTTATTTTCAGTTCTTAACTCAGACTCACTACAAAGTCTGTCTCTTGGGTAGAGTTCAAATTTCTACTTAACCTTCCCTGGGATACTATACTCTGACCAGTGTATGTGTAACTTAGGGTTCAGATATTTAGACAGAGGTTAAATAAAAAATCTGTTATAATGTTCTCATCACCTTTGCTTTCTAACTCTGCTAAGTACTCACTACTTTAAATTTTCAGGAGCCCTTGTCTCAAACTCTGTTCTCATTTTCTAAAGTCAGAAAGATACTCAGCTTTCAGTTGGAGTATTAGCCATACAGGTGTTGAATGTGACCCGGCCTCCGGCCAGAAACTATAGAAAGAAAAGTTTTACAGAATACACAGTTACTCTGCAAGAGTACTAAGGTAATGTGAACTTATTATACCATAGAAGTGGGCTTACAATTAAAAATGAAATTCCTTTATAGTGCTTAAGAACCATTAGACCTGACACTTCTATCATATCTTGCTCTACTCTCCATTTTATCAGTTTACGAGCCACACTAACCTACTATAAACAATATAGCTAGATCACTTTTAGGATTTTTTTTTGCTTAATTTTTTTCTGCATGGTATTTCTGATTTTAACTCATAACCTGTTATGAACATTTTCATTAGATTATCAATTTATATGTCGTAAAAATAATACAAACTTAAAATTTATCAGCCAAATAATTTTCAGAATAATCATCCATGGAAAGAATGACTGACACATCACATATAGTAAAAATGTAAACAGCAAAACAGTACTTGGGGGAATTGGGGAGCTGGAGAGATAGTACAGTGGGCGGGGTGTTTGCCTTGCACAGATCAGACCTGAGTTTGATCCCTGGCATCCCATAAGGTCCCCTGAGCACTACCAGGAGTAATTCCTGAGTGCAGAGCCAGGAATAGTTCCTGAGCATCACTGAATGTGGTCCAAAACCAAACAAACCAAAAAACTCCCAAAGAGTAATTGGATGTTTACAGTCAAATTTTCATAAAAACATGTGCTAAACTATTTCTAAAACTTGATTATCAATGTTACAAAAATATTTTCCATAGCTAATTTACTCTTAAAAGCATTTTCCATTCTTATGGTTAAATTTCTCTCCTGTGGACAGAGAACTATGACAGGAGGTATGCCACTAACTCCAGTTCAAATTTCTGGCATCACATATGGTCCATAGAGCCAGGAGCACTGACAAACCCTTCCCTAACACCCTTTCAAAAAAATTTTCACTCCCATACCTAATTTAATTCCTTGTTCAGGCATTTTAGAGTCATGGTTATTATGATTCCATCATACCAAATATCTGACAGCTATCCTTTGTTATGTAGCACTAGCACTATAGCACTATCCTCCTGTTGTTCACTGATTTGCTCGAGCCAGTAACATCTCCATTGTGAGACTTGTTACTGTTTTTGGCATATCAAATACGCCACGGGGAGCTTTCAAGGCTCTGCCGTGTGGGCGGGATACTCTAGGTAGCTTGCTGGGCTCTCCCAGAGGACAGAGGAATTGAACCTGGGTCGGCCGCATGCAAGGCAGATGCCCTACCCACTGTGCTAACACTCCAGGCCAGTATGACAATAATATTTGTAAATGATCACACTGGAGAAGAAACTGAGTGTTGAAAGTAGGTAAAGAGATATCCATGATAACCTTTCAGTACCTGTATTGCAAACCACAATGCCCAAAAAGGGTGGTGGGGGAGGAGGAAGGAGGAGGAGGAAGGAGGAGAAGAAGAGGAAAGAAGAGGGAGAAGAAGAGGGAAACTGGGGACACTGGTGCTGGTGGAGGGATAAGTGTTGAAACACCGTATCACAGAAATCCAATTATGAACAGCCTTCTAAGTGTCTATCTCACAATGATTCAATAAAAAATATCAAATGGGGGGGAAAAAACAATCATTTTTTAATTTTTTTGGTCATACCCAGCAATGCACAAGGGTTACTCCTGGCTCTGCATTCAGGAATTACACCTGGCAGTGCTTAGGGGACCATATGGGATGCTGGGAATTGAACCCAGGTCGGCCGCATGCAAGGCAAACGCCCTATCTGCTGTGCTATCGCTCCCGCCCCAAAAAGTCATTTCTTAAGGAGCAACAGTATAGTGGATAGGGCACTTGCTCTGCTAGTTGCTGATTTAGGTACAATTCCTGGCATCCCATGTGGTTCACTGAGCCCCGCCAGGAGTGATCCCAGAGCACAGAGTCAAGTCTGAGCACCACTGGGTGTGGCGTTCAAACTAAAAATGAAATAAAAACAAAGTTAGTCTTCATTTCTTCCCTCCGCTCCCCGATCCCCACCACTAATCTATCTTCTGACTGCTCTGTGGCCCTCAGGAACACAGTCCCCATCCTCCTTCTATGCCATATCCTTAAGAGTAGCCCAATTTTTTGTTTCCTGAGCCTCTGAAACTCTTTCCTGCCCCAGGGCCTGGACCGCCCTCCTGTTGAGCTGGTTCTGGTTCCCTCACACCCTGCGTCAGGCTTGCCGGGACCCATGATGGGATTGTAGTACCTGCTGTTTCACTCCCAGTGCTAACCACCAGCCTGACAGTTTACTCTGCTCGTGTAACAAGATGATTAAATGCGACTCCTGAGTCTGGCGGTGCTCAGTGGTTAGTGCCAGCTTGGTGTTTGGGAGTCATGCCCAATGGTGCTTGGGGGACCCATGTCAGGGATCAAACCCATGTCTCCTGTATGCACAGCAGGTGCTCCGACCTGCTGCCATATTTCTCCAGCCTCTGAAGCAACTCTTTCCCTCTCCATGGGTTCCCTAGCTCCAAGAACTTGCGAGAGGGGGTGAATTTCAAAGCAGCCCCATTTACCATGTATAAGTCAGTGATGAGCAGTGCTTTTGCGGCTGTTATACTCTCTGCACTTGGGGCCTCTAGAAGGATGGAAGGAAGGGAGGGAGAGAACTTCATCTGGAGATGCTCACTGAAACCCTCTCCTGCCTTTGATTTCATCCTAGTGACAAGGGCTGAGCATGCCAGGAATCTTGGCTGGTGGTTGCCACCGGCTCAGAGAGCCTGAAAGCAAGCCATGGCGGTTGGAGCTATGTACCTGACAGCAGAGCTAGCCGGACGGGGTGCTTGGAGCCCCAAACCCACACGCCCTCTAGTTGCTGGCAAAACTTTTCTTTTTCTGCAAGCTGGTTAGAAGGAAGTGGGGGAGAAGGGAGGGGGAAGACAGCCATTCCCCCTGGTCAGAGAGATGAAAGCAGCTTCTCCAAGAGGCAGAAAAGGGCCAGTGGAGGGAAGAAGCTCCCAAGGCAATGGCATCCCAGCGACCTGCACCTCACCATTTCTCTCCCCCTCCCCCCACTTAAACCCCAGAAATCGGGGGAGGGGCATGTGGAGAGGGGAAAGGACCGCCCCCTCAGCTCACAACTCACTCACTGGCCCTTTCTCTCTCTCTCTCTTAATTGAATCATCATGAGATACAGTTACAAAGCTTTCATGTTTGAGTTTCAGCCATACAATGATGGAACACACATCCCTCCACCAGCACACATTTCCACCACACATGTCTCCAGTATCCCCCACTCCCCGCCCCCATCCCAGTCCTCACCCTGGTTTTATGGCAGCCAATTTCCCCTAGACACTCTCTCTGCTTTTGGGCATTATCGTTTGCTCAAATTTTCCCACCACTATGTATGTTAATACAAGTAAATAAGTGGATCAGTATTCTCAAAAAATATTCCATAATGAAGACATCAGAAAGTATACCTAAATCATTTTATATAGGTTAAAAGACATATGCATCTTGGTCTTTCTGGTTTGTTGGTACCAGCAAACTTACCACTGAATTTTTACTTACCCTTGGCAGATGATCTTGTGTATTATAACTGGCATCATAATCAGAGAGAACATCAAGAACTTCAGAATACATGTCAATCAAGGATTTCTACAAAATTAAAATAAATAAACACTTAACACCATAGATGTAGTAAAAGACAACAAGCTGAAGAACTCCAGAATGTTTTCCCATAAACACTATATTTCTCTACGTAAATATATATTCATAGTAAAAGTGGAATAGTGTAGAATAAAATTTCTTTTCTTCTTATAGAATTTACTTAATTAAGTGATGCACTGATTTAGTAAGGTACATCAGGGATTGCCTAGCCTTTAGATTAAGTGGCTAGGGAGTTACTGTTTAATGGTAAAGGCAAAATATTAAATATTCAACAAAGGAAGATTGTTAAACACCAAAGAGGTCAGGTGACCAACTGATGAGACATTCACCCTCTACCAAGTTGGGTGTGTGGGTTGGGGAAGAAGGAAGTCAGAGAGAGATACAGACACAGACACAGGCCGTAGGGGAAATGAACAGAAGGATAAATGTAGCAGTACTTAAGTACACTCAGCCAACTGATCAGGCTGAAATCAGAATAACATTCAGATATTACTTAAAAATAAAATACCATCAGCCTGGAAGTTTTAAAAAAATTCTTCAAACTTTTATTACCTTTAAGTAATAATACTTTACTTATGAGGAAACTGTTTTTGAAATATGCTCCCAAGACATATTATTGCTTGGGACGTGACTTTTTCTTTCAACTGACATGAGTGACTTAGAAGTAAAGTCAAAGTACTGTCTATTTTCTGGTGCCCTGAAAGTCAGAACATGCTTTTTGACTTGGAGCTAAACATCTTTGGGTCTTGGCTAGACTTTATTGGAATTTCAAAACTTAAATTATATTTACTTATAAGAGACACAAGTTAAAAACAATCTAATTTAGCATATACAAACACAAGTTACACAGACACAAGTTAAAAACAATCTAATTTAGCATATACACTTTCAAAATTATTCAATTCTTTAAATTATTGAAAAATCTAAGAATTTAAAGTTCTTAACTGTGAAGCAATATTTTCCCATCACATCAAACATTAGTGAAAATGTTTATGACAATTTATGGGCAATGAAAATTATCAATGTGCTGGTGATAGCAAAGTATATGCTTGTTCAAAATTCCTCAAAATTTAGAGAAATAATTCTTTTAAAATGAAAAAGAGTCTAATTTTTCAATGGAAATACAATTAAGGCAATGATATCTGTTATATTTATATGTCTATCAACTCACAACTGATTAAAGCTACAGAAATTAAATAAACCTATAGACAAACTAGGCACTTAAGAAAAACAAACTGATTCACAAGAAATAACTTAAGATTGTGAAGACTTTTTTTCCTCATGGGAATGACCCTGAGCACAGAGCTGGGTAAAGCCCACTGCCAGTTGTGGCCAAAAAAAGAGTACAAAGACTTTATAGGGTTAATATAAAACAACCATTGTGGAGACAACCATTTGCAAAATATCTTAATACAGGAAGCAGTTTCCTTTCACCCAAGGATATGAGAGGTTAGCAAGAAAAAGATGACTGAACCCTTCACAGATTTCCTTAAAACTTGGCACTGATGAACGAATGCAAGTATCATGCTGGCAAAGTTCTAAGAACTCAAAAGTCACGATCAACCAACAATACCTTCAGCTTCCTATGGTGGATCCCTTTGTCATCTTTCTGCAATACTATTTTTCTCAATTCTTTGTTCTCCTTTTCTAATCGTTCCAAGATTCTCTGGTACTTCAACTTAAAAAAAAAAAATCACACACAAAACTGTATTAGGGGGGAAAATGGGTTAATAAATAACATTAAGTCTAAATACAAATCTTTCAAAACCTTAAAACTGTAACTTCTTATTTGAAATTTCATTAAAAAGACTTTGGTGAAAATGCTGAGAAAAGAATTATGCCTATTATTTTACACAGTAATACTCATTATAGTTTTATTATTACAATTTGGTATTTTACTTGGAAAATTCTTTGCTACTTACAATTGAAATATTTTAAAACACCTTCAAAATTATTAAATTCTTTAAATTATTGAAAACTCTAAGAATTTAAAGTTCTTAACTGTGAAGCAACATTTTCCCATCACATAAAAATTTTAAGTTTTCACTTACAGGGACATTTGACAAAAATCCAAATTCTTCTATTTCTCATATAATGTTTTAATTAAGATACGCATTTTAACCTGAGTGTTATGTGACAGGTCCTTTACTGTTTCACATGCATTAATGTTCTTAACCATCCCACGAGACAGAGGTGACACAGATTAGGAGCCTGAGGCTAGGAACGCCTGGCAGTCTATCCAAGGATACAAGGAGCTAAAAAATTATAATTAAGGACCTTATTATTAAGGAGTATGACTATTATTAAGGAGATGAACTAACTAAAAACTAATGAAATTATTTAAAAATTATTTTTTAGAAAATCAGAGGCTTCATTCATGGGTGAATCTGCTCTATAATCGTATTCTAAATTTTAGAATTCCTGGAGCAACCTCTCATACTATACCACACTGATGTACCAGGAGTAGCAAACACTTGACTGGGTTTAACACATATGTTTGTAATCTCTTATACAAGGATTTAATGGCTCCAGGATGAAATACAACAATCTTCACACCCTTTCCTCTTATGGTGGTGGGATTGGTATTTGAAGGTTAAATGTAATGGATCACTGTAAACAACTTTATAAAAACAAAATAAAATTAAAAACAAAAAAACAAAAAAACCAGGGGCTAAGACAGAGCGGTTAAGCCTTATCAACCAGACTCGATTCGTTCCCCAAGACCACATATGGTCCCCTGAGCTCTGCCAGGAGTGATTCCTGAGCGTAATAAAGCCAGGAGCAAGTCATAGCCAGGAGTACGCTATAGCCAAGAGAAAGCTATAAGCACATCTGGGTTGGCCCAAATCCTCCAAAAATCCTGTGCTTCACTCAAAAATAGTTTATACAATGAAGTAAGTTAACCTGATACTCTCGCAGTTCCTCCTCTACCCCTTATTTTGCAATTAGTCTTTCACTTAGTTGCACATACTGACAAGGTTCTATCATTAAACCATTCTTCTAAATCTTGCTTCGTTCAAAAATAAAATCAGTCTTTTCCCCTTTCAAGAAGCCCATTTTCTTTCTTGAACACCTCTCCACCCCCCCACCCCGCTTCCGCCTCCAACTTAAGTGAATTTCTTTCAACAAAATTATTTTGTTTCACAAACACATTCATTTTCATTTCATTTCATCATCCTGTTAATCGTCGATTGCCTCGAGCAGGCCCCAGTAACGTCTCTTTCATCCTAGCCCTGAGATTATATTCAGGGCTCTTTAGGAGAATGAGACCCATCATTGTTACTGGTATTTGGCATATTTGGTAGGCCACGGGGAGTTTGCCAGACTCTGCCCTGTGGGCAGGCTACATTCGACAGCCTGCAAGTTTGTCAAACACATGCACACTAATAAAATAAACCCAAGAAGCTTACATTAGAGTATATGTATAAAAAAAAAAAGCCCTGGTTTATTTTTATACCTGGGTATGCAGAAGTTCTTCTTGAAGTTGATCAATTTTCTCTTTGTCTGACACCTAAATATTTTAAAAAAATATATTGAGTAGAATCAAGCTTAGACAGAATAAAAGCAAACTAAATTTCTGAAAATTGTAATTGAATAAAAATGAATGGATTTATTAACATATTAAGTCAAATTTTAAATCAAGTGATAATTAAAAAAGTAAAATATACATACAATTTACCAATAATAGCCCAAGAGAATTTCATATTAATAATATTAAAAAAGCAACCACTTTCCTTTTGCCATGCTAGTCATTTCATATAAGGGGCTTGTCAGAAAAATAAGGGATAAGTACTTAAGGTTACTAATACCTTCACAAACTGTATTTTATTCAAGTACAGACACTGATGGTCACATATATAAAGTATTGATATCCCTACAGAAATGTTTTAGGAAATCAGATCTATATTATCACTTAGAGTTTCTGAGTAAGTCCATTTGTCAGAATGTATCCTTAAACAAATACTAACCAGTCCTGTTTTATGAGTAGGGAAGTATTTATTAAGTGCAAAGAAAATCTTGTATTTTCAGAGTTTTAAGTGGAGTCAGATGTTTGTTTTTAAATTCTATTCCACTGCAAGATCTGCTAACCCATAATACAGTGAATGTATCAGTAGCAATGAAGAAATATAAGGCAAACAAAATTGATACGAACATAAAATCAAATGTAGAATAAAATCCACAGGTATTGTGGAAACTACTTCAAATGGTATTAATACTAAGAGCTGAAAGATAAAATATCCAAAAACAATGAAGAATTTTATTCAATTCAAAGTATAACAAGCTTTAAAGTGGTCACAATACAATTCTGAATATAAAATACAATGATCAATTATAACTGAAATGATGCCAGTAATGACAAATCAACATAACTGTGCCTGATTATTTGGAAAAGTGCAATTCTTATCAGCAGTCTGTCAAGATACCTAATTTCAGACAGTCAAAATTCATAAACAAATTTATTTTATAGGAGACAAAAATCAAATCAAATGTGAATCTTTGTTCACTGGCCATTTAAGCAATCAAGACATCGTGGTAGCAAATGTATGTGAAAAAATTGTGAATGATTTGCTCACCGAGGTAGACATTAATAAGACTTATCCATGCATCCAAGAATCATTTAAAATTTTAATTTCTATTTCTAAATAATTTCTCAAAAATTTCACCAAAGGTTCTTTTAAATAAAAATGCCAATGCTTGCTAGAAATAGTAAGTATATTTTTCCTCCCCTAAGAGCCTGCAGCTAAAAAGCTCTAAATCTGATTCACTAACTATATAACAGGAAATATAAAGCAAATTTTGAATTACTGTTTTCTCATTCCTGTATAGAAAATGAGACTTAAAAACTTTTTTTTCTGATCAAGTGTTTGTGCACACGGACAAGAATTATTAATAATCTCCCAAAAAGTAAGAAAACAAGCAAATAGAGGAGCCCACAATCCAAAGAACAAAATCTTAAAGATCAATGAAGTAATAATTCCATACTTTGATCAGACAGCATGCTCTTAATTGTAATAATATAGTCATCAAATTCTGTTAGGTAGATTAATCTCCCAATTCATTTTAAAAGTTATTTAATTTTGTTCCATTAAATATTCATCCACTGTAACTAAATTAGTAATAGATTATTTAAATCATATTAGTATAAACTAATTTAGTTTTGAATATAAATATTTACTGATTTCATGTAATATGTCCTAAATTACAATACAACATTACATCTGGGGCAATTATTAAGACACTAAAACAAGTATACAAAAAAGTCAAAATGTTCACTATAAGTCAAGGGCTATAAAAGGATAGATAATGTGACCTGGTATAACAAACAGGGTATATAAAAAGTTAAAATAATGTTAGGCAGTTAGAATATTCTAAGTACAATCTTTATTCTAGCATTAGAACTTAGTGATCATGACTTATAATTTTTATATTCAGATTTTTAGAAATATTTGATTTCCCCTTTGCTTTATGGCATTTTTGTTAGGAATAATTCATGCAGTTTTACCAATACATTGTCTATCTTTGTAGATTAGTGCAACATCAAAGACAGGAAGTGGACTGAAGAATTATACCAGATATTTTCTAGGAGACATGATAAAAATCTTCAGTTTTATAAAATAAATATCAGACATTAAGGAGAAAACTGCGAATATCTTAAGAGAACAGCACACACACACTCTTCTTAGTCTGTCACTCATTCAAAGTCTCAACTAACAATAGAAGTATATTTATTTTGTACCACTTCACTGGAAATTTCAGTTATAACAAGAATGAATTCTTGTTCTGTTTGATGAACTCAGTTTGTGTTATGAAAATTTTTCACTCACCCTGACAAAAATGGGAATCAATGGTCCTGAAACCAGAGCTTTTCTACAATTCCAGGCTGTGAACTATGGAAAAGAGCGGAATCCTCCGCAGAAACAAGCTAAGGCTGAAAGAGAAACACCTTTACTGGCTCCTCACAAAACCAAACTTGTTGCTAAAATAAGATTCATAAAGATTTTTAAAAAAAATTTTAGAGGGGCTCGGGTCCTGGGGCCACTCCACGCAATGGTGGCTAGCTGATTAGAGCTAATGGCTCAGTGCCCACCACGCGGTACCAGGGACCAAATTCAAGACCTCACATAGTGTCCTATGGGTTGAATGTCTCCCTGAGCCCCCAAAACTTTATGTATATATACATATTTACAGTGGGAAAAATGAACAATGTCAGTTTTAATCTGTTTCTGTATGCGCTCCATTGCTCAAAAAACAAAAAACCAAAAAACACAGGAAAGCAGTATTAGCTGCTTGTAAGTAATATAAGATACCCAAAACCTACTTATTTTTCAAGAAGGTATGAAAGAATGATTATAAAGCAACAAACAGCTCCTGTGGTTTTATACCTTACCTACATCTCAAAGGCCTGGAATGATAATGATCTCATCAATTGGGATTTTGATCATTATGGCAGGGAAGGGATGAAAAACAATCTCTGTACTAACTAAGGGGGAAAGGAAAGTACATTAGGAAAAATGTCTTTCAAGACAGTAAGGATGCTGTCACTGTAACAGAGGGTTTTGTTTTGACAGTTACATTTAACTTCACATAAGGTTACTCTAAAGCATGCAAGAACAAGCTCTGTTTGGTGTTCCATTACGTATTCCTTAATAAACAGAGGAGGTGGAGGTATAGTCGAACTGAAAAAAGGGGGTGCCTTAATGTTAAATGATTAAGTATTTTAAAAAATATTAGAAATAGGAAAGCTATCTCAAAGTCTAAAATAGGCCAAAAAAAAAAAAAGGCCTAAAATAAACATTCACCTTTGGCAATATAGCAGATGAATAGCATTTAAAATTAATATTTAAGGGTAAACCACCAGATTTAAAAGCATGTCAATATCTTACACCATTTCTTACAATGTTAAAACAATAGGCAAATTGGACTCTTTCAAACTCATTTTACCATTAAGAAAAAAATACTAATAATTGTTACTAGAGCTGTATGATATTTCTAACACAGTAGTTTCCTCCTCCCTCCTTTCTCTAAAGAAGTAAAGGAAGGTTGAGCCAAAGTATCTAATCTGGTCTAATATGTATATGCTCAATAGCACACAGGGGTTAAAAATAAGCACTTCTTTGAGCTTACTTAAGCCAGGCAGGAAAATAGCTCGTTTTCTATTTTCAACATGTTATTCGCTGAAAGCTAAAAAGCATACATGAGTTGTATACTGTTGTATACACAGCCATGGAATTGAGAAAAGTCAAAAGTGACAGTGGAAAAAAATGGAATCATAGATAAGCTCAAGTGTTAGCCATCACCAAGTGAAATCAGGTTAGCCAGCAAAATCGTTGCAGTAACTGCCTGTAATATTGGTCATGATTCAGTATCAGAACCTAAAGTTACGTATGACTCTTTTTTTCAGTTAAGGTTTGAACACAACTTGAATACTATTCCAACTATATATATATGTATATATATGTGTGTGTGTGTATATATATATATATATATATATACATATAGCTGATTTCAAGTTCTCAGTGCTTAACCTTGAAATCATATTCATGTTCTGACTCAAAAGTCTCTTTAGAATACAAACTTTGGGATCTAAACTGCAGGATCATCCAACAGTCAAAAGCAGGCTTAATGTCTTCTTGACAGCACATAAGGTCAAATATTTCTATGTTTATGATGACTTTTCTTAGACTGTTCTTAAGTGGGCTGGAGTGATAGCACAGTGGTAGGGCATTTGCCTTGCACACAGCCAGCCCGGCCGAGCCGGGTTCGATTCCTCCGCCCCTCTTGGAGAGCCTGGCAAGCTACCGAGAGTATTCAATATGCCAAACACAGTAACAAGAATGGAGTAACAGTCACAATGGAGACGTTACTGGGCCCGCTCAAGCAAACTGATGAACAACGAGAGGGCAGTTTGTTTGTTTGTTTGTTCTTAAGTAAACAGAATCATACCAAACTTCAAATGTTCAATCCTTCAGTGGTTCAAGGTGAAAATTCATTTCACTGACTTTACTAACATGAAAAATCTTTATGAAATGAGTTTATCAAAGCATCTAAGAATAATTATGTCCAAAAGTGGGGAAAAAAATAGTTACAAACATAGGCTGACTCAAAAACTGAACCAAGTAAATAGCAGTTCATAATTCTTTTCTAAATACAAATCTTTGACCATCTTAATTTTTTTTTTAACTAGCTAGGTTTATATTTTAAGATTTGTTTGTGCACTCCAGGAGTTACATGCCTATATTTTCATTAAAATGATTTCACATACTGGAGTCTGTGAGTGGATTAAGACGGTACGATCTTGTAGGAATGGTTGATTAGTATGCACACATCATTAGCCCCCTTAAACCAGCCATCACCTTGCGCTTCTGTTGGGCATAGTTCGTGCTATATTGGCCAGCGGCTCTGCGGGCTTCCTCTTCATGCTCTTGAATTTGCTGTTGTAAGAGAATGAGCTCACCAAGCAGACCCTGCCATGAATTTACAATGAGGAGAAGAGGAAAATTGGGAGGAGAATAATGTTAAACCACAGGGCACAAGAAAGGAACAGATGTAAGTTAGGGAGGCATGAATAGCTTATGACAAAAATGGAAACTCATTCAGGTACCTTTAAAGTCAACATTTAACTGGGATCAGTAACTAATTTCCATTTTCCCTCTCTGTGAAATTAGGGCTCTCAAAGATATAAAATAGCATGGATCATAAAGTGAAAAGAAAAATGCAAAAAAATGCTCGAATAAAACATACCAGATATAAAATACCATTAAATAGTAAAATCTAGACTAACAGTAATAGTCAAAGCAAGTGGTTAACTCCTTGCTGGGGGGGGACAACAAAAAAACTTTAAGTTTTATTTGGAATTGCCAATGTAAACTATATAAACTACTGCCAATATATATAAACTGTACAATATAAATGATGCTTCTGATGATACAGATGGAAAAATTAAGACTGTTTTTTAAAAGTTCTATTGTTCCTCAGCCAACTGGGCCAGCAGTTCAATGCTAAAGTCGAAGGATTCAGCGCTGCTTTGGCCCTAAGGTGCTACACCCAGCAATGCTGGGGAGGCCCCAGGGACGGAATCCGCCATGGAGGCCAGGCCTGCCACATCTCTCCCGGACTCCAGGTCTACATGTTTTAATTCTCAACAGACAACAGATCGGAGGTTACATAATAGCTTATTATTACTAACATTTTCTCTTGAAAAGCAACATCTTCAATTAAAAGTCAATCCCCCCAAATGCTATTGATCTGAGTTTTGAACATCACATTAATCAAAGCTTTAACATTTATTTCTATTAGCACAAGCATATCTGACTAAAATTTAGGGTTCATTTGTTTAGCCTAAAAATAATTTTTCAGTAGTTTTAATTTATACCACAGGTGGGTAGCTTGAATTTTCCCTTTTTTGAGTGGTTCTGACATCAAACAAAAATAGTCCTTAAGAATGTAACAGATAGCATTAAATCCAAAGCACAATATAGAAGATAATTAGATATAAAGATAACGTGATTACAAAAATTAAAAAGGAAACAAAACCCAGTTTGGATCTATATACAAATCAATAACCTATACTTAAAATCCATTCCTCTTAATACTAATAAAATATTAATTTGATATAATATTCATCACAATGCATTCATGAATCAAGATACCAAAATACCAACTCACTACCATCATCATTCCCATAACTTCTGTCATTTACAATTCTGCTACTGCTTTCACTAAGCAAAAAAGAAAAATGTGGTCTAAATTTTTTTATTCATTTAGACATTCATTATAAACACTCCTCCAATCTATACAAAGAACTTTATTTTCTGCACAGTATTTTTAATTACTAGTATAGATTATTGACACTGGGGAATGTGGAAGAAAAGAAAAAGAAAAAAACAGTCATCAACAATGTCACGAACCTAATATTTTCTTACAGAGAAACTTGAAAAAGGTAAAGTTTCATGGGATGAGATTGGTGATTCATTTACATTAGAACAGTTCTGGAGAACAATACAATTTTACAAAGTCATAAACATTGAAAAAATTAGAAACATCAGTTTAAAATATTAATGAGAAAGCTTCAGTTTCAGAGCTTTTGAAAATGACTATGTTATTTTTACAATTAGATTTTATAAATACAATGAAAAAAATCTCTTCAAACTGGGGCTGGGGAGGTAAAACAGTGGTCAAGGCTCTTGCACCAGACACAGTCCCCTGGGCACGGCCAGGACTGACCCCTGAGCAGAGCCCGGGGAAACCTTGGAGCACAGTAAGGAGTGCGGCTCCCCCACTCCAAATAACAAGGAAGTAAAAACCCCTTCAGAGAAGACTTTTTAACATCACATTTATATTTTAATTAGTAGACTTACTCAAAGGCTTAATTTCTTAGTTAAATTTATGTAACCCAAAGACATAAAAATTTCCCAGAAAAACAGAAAAGCTAGCATAATAGTAAAGCATCCCCTCAAATATTAGCACATAATTTGAAGAATTTTGTTTGATCCTCAGTTTTAATGCATTAGACTATGATCACAGCTAACAATAACAGATCTGGCTAATCCTTTATAAATCAAGATATCCGTTATTTCTGTTTAACAAGAACATTATAGTGGCAAGGGATGTAACTGAAATTTCAGAGTTTTTGCAAATCTAACACTTGTATAATATGCAACAGTATATAATACATTTATAGAAACCTGTAGCTATCTCTAGAGATAAATATTTTGTGGACATAATTTTGTGGTCACTGAAAAAATTCTATCAAGACACAGCCTACCCACTCACTTCCCTCTTAAGCCCCTAGCTTTTGGCATTTATAATTCTTCTTACTGCTTTTACTAATCAAAAAGAAAAGGTAGCCTAACATATTTTTATTCATTTAGACATTTATTATAATCACTTCTTCAATCCATGTGATTAAATTTTCCAAAATAATTCCGATCCAGAAATGCTTCACATTTTGTTTTATCCAGTAATTTAGCTGCTTTAATTAGCATACCTTCAATATTCTAATGTATATGTTATAAAATTAAAAAGCTAAGAACTCTATTATTAAAATAATTTGAATGAGAGTAGTTTCAAAAACCATCAGATCTATTAAAAATAACCACTACAAAGTATTTTATTTTTACAACTGGAAGTTCTTCCAAAGTAAATATAACGAGAAAAGTTAATAAATACAGTTCAAAAATATACTGTCAAAGAAGTGAGAAAATATCCCACATTTCTTAACTGTGCTGGTCTATCGGGCACAGAATTCTCTTATCCATAGCTTATACACCCCTCCCTGAGTTATTGCTTAAATCTATTGAAATTGTGTCGCAGATGCTCTGATATTCATTACATTAGAAGAAAACACCCTCTGTCTAGTGACACCTCACTTTCCTTCCAAGTCTGTTACTGAAGCACTGCTATGTGAAGATAGTTGAAATTAACTGTTACCTCCTGAAAAAAGTAGGAAGAAAACAAGAATTAGACACAGAAAAAAACTATTGCTACACTATACAATTTAAAGTTTCCCTTTTCTGATTTTAGACATCATATTTTACTCTAAAAAGCAATTATTTAGGTGGCTTTTCAGTTAAGGCTTTGGGTAATATGTAAGGGGAAGAAATATGTGTGCCAATTGAGAAAAATTTTTTTTAATGGGAAAAAAACCCCAAGTTTTTCTCCCAGGTTGTAATGTCTTAATATCAGGAGCTATTTCTCTTAATAGCAATAATTATTTAAAAAATTATATATTATATAAAACATAACTGCTATAAATAATACATTTTTATGAACAAATACAGATAAAATATCTGGTTATTGTCAACTTGAGGTTTTCATATGTCATGAAGTTTTTTGTTTTGTTTTGTTTTTGTTGATTAGGAACAAAAATTAGTGGTAATTCTGAAAACCAAAATTTTGTGATAACCTAATAATAATGTTAGGTAAAAAGCATTTCAAATAATTATGACAGTATGTTATCTTACGTGAGGACATTTGAAAATACCTTTATCTTGGTTTGGGGGCAACACCCAGGATCTACTTCTGGCTTGGTGTACAAGATTCCTAAAAGTTGCCCCGAATCAAATCCAGAACTCCTGCATGTAAATCTTGTGCTCCAGTCTACTCTGCTATTTCTCCAGCCCTCAGACACTATGTTTTCAATCGCATCTTAAGCACAGTATACAAGGCTCCAGAGTCTACTTGTTTTGATAACAAGTAACTCCGGCATGGCCTGACACATAAGATGTGTGACAGGCAGCACCCACAGCAGGGCTGATGGCAGGTTTGGGTCTTAAATAAATCGAATTACAACCTACTTTCACCCAATAATGTACACTTAAGGTTTCTAGCACAAAATCCAAGTTGGATTTCCTAAAAAAAAAAAAAAATGCTTTTTCTATTGAAGGAGCTACACTCAAACCTTCCAATCTATTTCCCCATTTTTCATAATTCCCAAACAAGCTCCACAGAAAGAAAGAAAGAAGTAATGTTGATACGTTGTTAACTCAAACAACAATTCAAAGTGTACAGCAGTAATTGTCATCTTTATCATCCTGACAGCCAAATGTTTTAGTTTTATGTGCCATTTTTGTGCTAAAGGACAGACAGACAGTATATCACCTTCACATCTAAATTACATTCCAGTCCTTTACAAAAGAGGAAAGAGACAATCCAGAGGCAGGAAACGGCATGTCCAAGGCCACCCAGTTCAGAGAGCAGGAAGCATCAGACCTGAGTGCAGACAATGGGACCCCAAAGTCCCAACCACCTGTGTCACCCTGCTAGAATTCAGCTCCCACCAACTTCAAAGTCCCTGTGCCCATCGGATTCAACCTATACTTCAAGAAGGAAAGTGGCTAGCCTACAGTACGCATAATACAATTACCCTTTAGAGAGGGAACCGGTCGGCTGCCTCCAGCCTACAAACCCGTATGGCCCTTAGAGAAAAGAAGTTTACTAACTCCTGCATAAAGGTAAAGTTTAGAAGTAACTTGGGTTCAGAAAAGAACCCCATTCAGGTCAAGAGGTCTCCATTTAAAATTATTCCAGGGTATACACTCCTTTTAATTCTGCTATCTGATTAGCTAGAAAGCAGCTTTTTCCTATTTTCCCCTCCCACTTACACATTACTCTGCTCAAAGTAGTCACAGTTAACCTAAGAACATTTATTATTGGTTATAAGAAGGAAATGTTCTGCAACTTGGATTTATTTCACTTTTACTACTTCAGGCAGACCGTATCCCATCTTTTTATTTGAACAATCTATACAAAAAATGAAATGGGGGAGGGGGCTCTTACGCTGTGACTGTCTGTTCTGTCTGGGGTGGGGCACAGGCTGACTCCTGCCTCTGTGCTACTGTGGTGCTCTGAGAGGCACGTGCAGTGCCAAGGATGGAACCTAGTCAGCGGCATGCGAGGCAAGTGCCCAACCAACCGTGCTCTCTCTTTGGCCGAATAAAAAGGCCCTCCCGTTAATCATCGATTT